CAGATCACAATTAATCTTTCAAACAAGAAATTATAGTGAATGTTAAGTTCAGGTTAAAAGGCAATACATGACTCTAGCTGACTCACTAATGTTCTGAAAAATGTCATGTTGACATACTGCAGGACGTTGTACTTGGTTTTGTTAGTACAGTAGTTTTTTGAAGAGTGCTTTATTTAAAAAAAAACTGCAGATTGTGTCAGAAGGTTAACAACTGGAAAGTGTCCTGATAAGGAGCACTGCAGGTGGATAATGTTTGACAGGACTGTTGTGATGATGGATCAAAGGTCCAAGTCTATTTTCCTGTCAGATCCACCTTCACACTTCACACACAGGGATTTCTGTCTGGGAGTGAGTGAGTAAATCTGATCCGGGTGAGTATGTCTGTGTATGTAATACTGTAACTCAATGCATCAGTGGATCTTACAAACTACTTTTCAACACATGTGCACAAATCCAAAAGGCTTTCCAGTGCATGCGAGTGTCCTGTCTTCAGCATCATGGTGGAGTTGGCCTTCTACCCGGCGGTGGCACTGATGTATTTTTTTGGAGTGATGAAGGCCACGCAGGACGACCGGGTGGAGCTGGACGACCGGGCTTCGATGAACGTGTTCTGTCTGTTTGTGTTGGCACAGCCGCTGTGTTTGATACTGGGAGGATACACTGGCATGGCTACGTACCTCCTCACAGCTCTGGTCTCCTACAACTTCCTGCCTTGGAGGAAGACAAAACAGCCTGCAAAGGGAAAAGAATCTAAGAAGAAGACGAAGTAAGAGCAAGGAATGTACACTTTAAGGATACCGTGGATTCAAACAGGTTGCGAAAGAGAAATTTTTTTTATGTACACATTCAATGTGAAAATCTTTTTCTGTGGGAATAAATGGATGTATTGCTACCTTGCTTAACCCTACAGTATTTACCCTGTTTCCACAGAGGTGTTTTTCCTCTGCAGTTGTAAACATCTGTGAGAAAATACATTATTCATGGTCATTCAGTGCTCCTCTGCAGAGGAAGTGTATCATTTTATGATTCCTGATGCAGCCATAGGGTTTATTTAGACAGAAATGGATGGATCCTTCTGTAACATGTAATGGCCTTCATGGAGGAACTAACAAAAAAAATCAGTTTTGGCCAATGATCTTTAGTGAGTTGATCAATACCACTCTCGTGTTTGTAAAATATACATAAGCAAATACAAAGCTACAACCAGCAGCCAGTTAGCTTACTTTAAATCAAAATCTTCCTACCAGCAACTCCAGAGCTCACAAGTTTTTAAAAACCGTATAAAGTGTAAAAACAATATGTTGCAGTTCTGCGGAGAGCTATGTGCTGGATTATTTCATGGCCCAGTCACTTCCTGGAGTCCATACTGGTTCACTGGCGACCTTTATGGCAATGACAAGTACCCAGGAAGAGAGGTATAACGTATTAATTAGAGAGATTTAGAGGTGCTGGGAAGCAGGCTTTGTTACCTAATGAGAGTGGTATTATTCTTGGTAAGAAAGGGACTAAACTTATTTCTGAAAATGTGATACTATACCTTTAAGGGAAGAACTTAATGGGTGATCAAAAGCCTGGGCAGCCGATAAATATTTTTTCCATTTCTGAATTGAAAAAGTCAATGCAATTACATTCTGCGTCCTAATATGAAAGCACTTTGCTTTGGACTGTAATATTACACTGAGTGAAATCGTTAAGCATATGGTGACTCATTTCTACCAAACATCATCATCATCAAGTCAATCGATTCCAAACTCAACATGAATATGAATGAACAAAATATTAAACACTTTATTCACATTAATGAACACTGCTTACAAATTTCCCCCACAAACACATAATCATTACAAACACTTGGGGGAACAAAATCAGCATTGTGTTTTTTAATTAGCCAGCCATGTTCGTAAATGACTGCGTGTCCCTCTGATGTGGCTAAACCAAACCCAGTAGTGTGGAGAGCGTATGCGCTGTGTAAAACTGGATTCAAAGAGAGCGAGTATAATGGGATTAGACCGTGCTAGTTAGTTGATAGTCCGGGGCTTTGTTCAGTGGTCGTGCAGATGCTCGCTGTGTGTATCTGAGAAAACAGTGGGAATGTTTTTTTTTTGAAGATGTTTATGACTTCCCTCAGCATTAAAATCCTCTCTGAGTTCATGTTGTCTGAAGTCATTTTCCAGGCTCCAAATGTGTTTCTGCCTCTCAGCGTCTCTCCTTTATTTCTCTTCTTACACATGTGAATATATGTAGGGTAAATAAGGTGATGACCTGTTTCTTTCGCATTTGCTCTATAGGTTACACTTCCATTGTTATTAGCTTCTATATCTCCTTTAAAGGTTATACCATTAAAAGTAAGACAATGTTTGGCTTTTGCTCTCTATGTGTTTATCTCATTTCCTATACATCTCCAATAGAAGCTCTATATGTGCAGGGTTTTCCGTTTCACATGCTCCATTATTTAAAAATATCATAGTCTGCCCCTCTTGAACGTCCACTGCTCATTTATTGCTTTAACAGCTTTCTTTTCCACAGACACTCTTAGCTGAATCACTTCCTCTTGTTGTTGTTCATCTGTCCATAGCAGTCCCCATATATTCTACTTTGTTTCCACGATGCTGCTAATTATTGATTTATTTGCCTCTTTGAATTCCTTTTCATCATCTGATCTCACTCAATACAAGAGCTGTATTCACCAATCAACAGAGAAATGTTTTACATAAAGTTAATTTCTCTCATTGTCTTTTCATGACTACATCACTGTGATTATACAAGTTTAAGAAAATGATTAAAGCAGCAGTCAAATTAGATGTTGGACTGAAGTGAGGATAAGTGTAACCCTGTTTCGGGAATGTGTTTAGGCACCAGTAATTCAGTTGAGGATTGGAGTCATGAGTAAGTGTAACTATTAGGGATGAATGAGTACACCACTCTCTGTATCTGTCTCTGTTCAACAAATTCTCTGTATCCGTACCTGCAATGGGCCCGGATTACCCCGGACATGGGCAGAACTAACCGAAAGTTGTTATTTAAGCCTGAAATTCATATGGGTTGCTCAGAAGTTGCTACATTTATTAGAAAACTATTTACAGAGCAGCCTGAGAACTGAGCTTCAGAGCAATGTTTTTGATTACAATAGTAAGAGAATAGGTAACAACTAGTTCCTGGATACGGAGTACTCAATTAGCTATCGATTAAAAGCAATTTTAAGATTATTTGTAAATCTAAAGACTTTGGCCGCTTGGTGGTGTGACGGCCCCAGGTTTGGGCCCTCTCTTGTTCTCGGTATCTTGCTGTGTTTCGTCCCTTTAATCCAGGTAATTGGTGGGTGGAGTTGATACCTGGGGTGAGATGCAACACACCTGAGCAGGTAAAGGAGCCTGCTTGATGATTTGACCCTCTCTTCTCCTGGTCTGCCGACTGCTTCTGTTTTGTTTGGTTCTTTGTGTTCTACATCCACTCACACATACTGATCTGACAGACACCTACTATTCAATATTTTGCTAAAATTACTTATTAAAATATCTATTGTTATTTTCAGACTGTGTGGTTTCCCGCTTTTGTCACCCACTGTTGAGCCAGGTTGTGACAGTGGCAGCAGAAACAACCTGTAAACACAACTTGGACATTGATATACTATTACCTTGTTAATTTGATATGGCAAACACGTTATAATGATTTACTTACACACTCAGCAGATACGAAGCAACATTAGCCTTCATTGGGAGTTGTGTTTGTGTCCACCTGGTAAATGAAAGTACAATATTCACTCTTCTTTTAGCTGTGTTTTACTCTCCACCAATTTCTGAGAGAAATATCTGACTGTTCAGCTGCTAAATGCCACTCCACTGAGTTCACCAGCTAGCTAACCAGCTATTTGTTATCTATTATGGCAGCCTAAAATATCCATCCCAGCGATATAGGTCTACTGTATCATGTAAGACTCTATAGCCATGCTAGCGTTTTTGTGAGGCTCTACTTGGACACAGTGATTCTTTCAGCAAAATCCTATATCAGCTTTCTAACTGATGGGCTTGCCAGTAGACAGTAAACCAAAGAATTGGACAATTTTTTATGTGATGTTGGTACTAGATGAATGGACCCCCAGGCATCCTCAGAGGACCATGAATGTTTCTGCGAAATGTCACGACAATCCAGGTAATATTTGTTGAGATATTTCAGTATTTTTTGCCTGTGATGCTGGAGTTACATTTATTTTAGGTAAGCATAATACATATGAGACATTTACTATTCTCTCAGGGTATTTGGCTGAATTGCAAACAGATCTTTAATGTAACTGTGATTGATAGAGCAATACAGAGATTGATGGATCAAGTAAGAACAGACTGGAGTATTGTAGTGTAATGAAACAGACGAAGACGCTCAAATTAAATTTCAGTAGTTTATTATATAGAGAGAGAGAGAGCAGATGTAGCGCATACAGCTGGGACGTGACAGGATTTGTGTATGAATGTTTATTTGTTTGTGACTGGCATTTTCAAATGGTTTTTGCCTCCTCTGAGGCATTAATGGCCATCGTACATCACAGTGCTTGTGTCTCCCGTCGCTGCTGGGACAAGCGCAGCTCGACACAAGTTAATGATCAGAGTTTGCAAAGGAAATGGAGATGTATGAGTTGTGAGCTGGTATCTCCTGCCCTGAAGTAGAAAGGATTGTATTTGGATGAAAAATATCTCCCCATGTCTAGATCTCATCCATTAAAACCCGTTTGCCCCTTTATCCTGATGATCAACAATCTCCTCATCGGTCTACAAGGTATTAAGGTATAAGGATAATTGTCTTAGCTGTTTTGGTCTTAATAACAGAGGAGATAAAGAGCTAGGTGTTGTAATCTGCAGACAGCTGGGTAAATATAATAAAAACCCCAATCGATTTAGCTAAAGAACAAATTTGTTTAAGACACTCACAGTGTGATCTTATGAAACATACATATGAAAGAGATCAATATACAATAAGATCTGATATGGATTCATCACACCAGAAGACAGTTGCTTTTAACTTATTTATTTTCTTGAGGGAACGTTGGATCCTTCATTAAATATTTACTTACATTATTTACAGCAAGATATTTTTACACAGCTTGGGCACATGCACATTGTCATATTAAACAAACTGTACACACATTTACACTCATTTAAAAGGGAGTAGTCTGTGCAATAAAAGGCACAAATGACCTTTGACCCTGCATTTATGTCCCATAAGTACATATTTCACAGACACTACCACATATTGTATTACCATACACACACCTGGAGAAACACTACTTGAGCAGCTGCAGGGAAGACGTGTGTTGGTGTGGGACAGTGAGCCGCCAAGCAGCAAAGTGCCCTTTTCATTGCATCTAAATGTGACCCCATCCAAGGTCTTTTCAGCCATACTGATAAAGTGAGCAGAGACGTCGTCTGACTTAGAACAGAATGCCACAATCTGTAGGACAATCTACAATCCTCAGAACAAGTCTGTTATAGATTCAGGATATTAAGTGAATGATTATCAATGTCCTACATACACATTCTGTTTCTTTAAGGCAGTAAGGCCTGTTGGCTGAGGCACAAGGCTGAAGCTGAGACACTGACTACTTTGGTTTCATTTCCTAGTAGTCATAAGATGGCTGGGCTGGGCTTGAGATGTCACACAATAAGTTTGACTCGCACCCTCTCTCCAATCTGTTCTGTGATCCTAGATCCAATACCAACTGGTTACAGCCTCTATACATGTATACATTGTTTGTCTGTGAAAATTGGTTCAGTCTATGTTTTCCTTTCAGCCAACTGACTATTCGCTAAACCCCACCCCCAAACAGCCGTGTCCAATCATAGGTTAGCAACTGTAACTGGGCTATAAGCAGCCTGTCAAGCTTTTTGATTTCTCAACATTCGGTGTGCATGGTGCTCTAATAGCAAACTCTGTATTCTGCAAACATTAGCATGTCTCACTAACTAGCTTACTAGCTGCAGACATTAACCAGTGTTATTTCCAAAAGTAAGTAACTAAGAAACTAAGAAAATAAATTACTAAAGGTTACATTAGAAAAATATCCACTACCTGTGAGTTATGATAGCGGCTCTTTGTCCTTCTCTTTATCAGCTTTGGGGAAGTTTATACCTAACCCTAAAATCCTTTTCTTTGGGAAAAGTGAAGCATAGCGTTTGAAAATACAAACATTAAAATCATACATCTAACTACTGTGCTGCTTGTCCAAGTATTGTGTGTTTCTGTATAGTAAACGTCTGCTTTGGTATATTTCTGTGTTAAACAGGACTCATTGTTTCAAAACTTACTGTGGATTTCAAGTGGTAAACCTGCCACCGTTATCACTGTAAACTGTGTCGTGCGAGAACGGAAAGCTTGACAGGCAACAACTGTAACTATAGGGGGGCGAGGCTTAGCGAGTGGTCAATTCGTTCGGAGTCCCCAGTTGGGATTCTTGGGTGCAGCATTACGCATTGTTGTTTGACACTATGTTTTTATTAAATACTAGCACTGGGGGGCACCAAAGTCAGAACATTTAAATTGCACCCATGGTGGCTTTAAAGAGAGAGCAAGGTATCAGCAAGTGTTTTTTCGCTTTGGTCAAAAAACTTTACAATTTAAATCAGATGCTAATAGGGCTATAGAATATTGCCACCAGCTGGTGTACCAGTTCATGATCGGAGAGGAATATAGATCAAACATTACTCACTACATGCTCAATGGTACACTTTGTGTTCATTGTTGTAGGAGAAATAGATTAAGGTTGGATCTTGTCATCTTGTGTCTTCGATTACATCCTTCACAGAATAATATGACCTGTTTGTGGTCAGTAATATTAAGAAAAATGCCTGAATGCCAGCAGACAGCCAGGGAAATAAGGATGGAAATGGACTCTCCTGAGTCTCTACAAAAGGTGTGCATGCTGCTCTGTCAAAGTGAAAATTCTCATTCTCAGGTAACATTTACTATTATAAAAAGGGACTTTAAAGGCAGGGACATATTGGGGAATGTCATTCTCTGTCTTGACTGTTATCTCATACTGTACCAGCACAAACATTAATATCATTGATTTCTGAATCTACTGTGGAGCTAAACAGTACTTATTAGTACAATTTCAGTGCTTGAAGCCTCATCTTTGTAAACTAAGTCTAAAACTAGGCTCAATACATATCTGGAAAACAGTTCACATGGTATTCACAGCAGTGTTCATTATCCAAAGTGCATGTAAATCGTAACTTGCAGAGATCAATCTGAGGCCAGCTGATGAGAAAGAAGTCAGTTAACCTCGACAAAATCTCCCCTGTAATATTAAAAGAGGTATGACACACCTATTTACACATTATCAAGTAATGAAGTGGTGCTGACATTGGCAGAATACAAGCCTAACAACTAGGGGCAATTTTGGGTAGGGTTTTTGTTACATATTTTATGCATAATTCATAGACTTTTTTTCTTCGGACTCCAGATAAATGCCCAAATCCACTCAAGGTTAAACAGTAAGCCTGGCAATAGCAGGAAGAATGAATTGCCCATTGAATTGCTATGTTTTGAGATATCCAATCAACCGACGAGCACCACTAACAACATGCGTCTTTCAGCAAATGTACAAGCACAGGGCATCAAAGAGAGTGCCTAAAGCTACAGTACTAAGAGATCTTCTCTAGTAATAAGCAGGAGTCTAGAGAAGTGAAATAAACGGAGATAAAGGCTGTCTTAGCATTGTTATCGCATGAAACACACCACAGAGCTGGTAAGCATGGTCAGTTTGGCTAATTAGCACAGATGAAGGGTCCAGTGGAGACTGACTCAAGGTCAAATTATATGACCCATTATGGTATGAAGGTTAACTTCCCTACTAACCACATTTTGTACCGCTCACTCCCGTTTTATAGACAAACTACTAGTTTACATATTTTAAACAAGTTATTATGGGCAAAAATCAGTGCACATCTTCTCAGAGTTGCAAGAGTTTTAGCTTTGGCCACATTGTGAAGATGTCGTTAAAGACGTGTACATTTTGTACAGAAAAGCACAGTACATAGATAATAAGTAAAGAGAATAAAATACAAAAGCAAAACATGGAAATGGGTCTTTTACAAAAAGAGATGGTACACCGATATTACCCTTTTTTCTCAAAGTAAAAAAACATTGCTCAAACCAAGGCATTTGGTCGATTCAAAGAGCTACCTAAATTCACAGAGTCAAGTAATGACTAAAGTATGACTAATATCCTTCCACCTTTACCTGAGTTTCTAAGCGTAGCAAAACATTACAACCAAGACCCCCCCCCCCCCACACACACACACATATCCTTCCCCCCTACCCACACACAATACCAAAACCCCTATCATTGCTTTGGGAGAGTGTAAGCAGCTTCACTCCCGCTTAAAAGGGAGAATTTGCAGCAAGTGTGTTGAAAGTATTAACTAACTTCAGCAACTATGACTGCCATTTTGTGATCCAAGATTTGCTTAATTAAACTACATGTTTCTGGGTCTTTTATACAGAAAAGATGCAGATGCAGTAAATCCCCAAAGTATTCTTTTTTTCAACAGAAGAAGTGAGATTTCAGAGCTGAACAAAACACAACTGATATTGTGAGACAGACATAAAACATCTGTATGACAAGAAGCTTTCAAGAGCTATGTGTCATTTTAAAGCGATACAAAAAAGAAACTGAAAGTGATGTGAATGCTTGCTGTTATCTGTATTCAGAAGTGTCAGACAACAAAACCATAACTGACTTTTAAGTCTTAAGACTAAGGAGTGTGCATGTATGTATGTGCATATGCGTGTCAGTGGAATGCTGAATTTGTTTCATTAAAGAGACACTAAATCAACACAGTGAGGGATGCCAAGACCTATCAGGCAAGATGGATAACCATAACATCCACTCAAATCTTGTGTTTGTGTGTGTCCACTGTTTGTGCGTGTGTGTGTGTGTGTGTGTGTGTGTGTGTTGCCCACACACATAATCTGCCGCATAAACAAATTTGTACATCAGTGCATGGGTACAGGAAGTTTCTTCCTGTATTTCAATGTAGCAGCAAATAGTGGGTGGAATAAAATTGGGATTTTAATAAGAAATCCCTCTCAGTTATGACCTACTTTCACCCAAGTAATCTTGCCTGAAAAGCAGCCGGTAGAACCGCAAGACTTCTAATTAAATAGGCTTCCCAGAGAAGTTCAGTAGCTGGGAACAGAGGTGGACTCTTCAGTAAGGCTGGTCTATCTGACAGTGGCTAACCTTAGAGATCAGAGTGTAGCTGAAAGCAGGCAGGGGGAAACTGGTAGTGCTCCTACTACCATTTGTGTGGAGGATAAATGGCAGGTATGGGCCACATACTGTAAGATGGTTGCGATAATGATCTGGCACTTTGGCCTCAATGGAGTACCCGACCCACAAATGTCTTAGCAGTGTGTACTGTAGGTGTGTACCGGTTTGTCATGTGCATCTGCAGGGTGTTTCTTATTTTTGCAGTAGTTAGCACTTTACCGAGCAGATAACACAATGTAGTCAGATTCCTCTGGGGCCAGTGCTGCCTTAGTTGTGCTACTGGACGTGTGCTTTCCTGTTTGCAAGGTCAGAAGCTAGACAGTATGAAAACCAGAGGGCCACAGAGGACACATCCACGCAGAGATGAAGAGCCAGGCATTAAATAAAGACTTCAAAATGTCAAGCACCAGGTGTTAGTACACAGTGACCCGTAAAAATGTGCTCTCCCACCTCACGCAAAAGTCCAAACCAACTGAGGTAGGGAAAAACAAATTTGTAAAAAATTAACACGACTTGTGGAATATACTGAGAGCGACATCAGCTAACTGTGACTGGAGGGCGTTTCCGGAGTAAACAACAAATATCAAGGGATGGTGTTTTGTGTATTTTTCCAATGACGTCTATCCCAAGATCAGCAACTGTCTATTGATCATCCACCACGATGAACACATAGTATAACCCTACAATCTGCTCAGTATCAGAACAGTCGCAACGCTAATGAAGACTAATAGTCCTGAATGGAGGAACAGAGGTCCCAGTTGTTAGTTAACGTCCCTCTAGGATTTAAATTCGGCCCGTGTCTTGACTTTCAGATAGTAGATCCATGAATACATACGTCTTTGAGAAAATTCATCTCTCGCAGTTCGACAAGTATTCTGAAACCTTGGTGAAAGAACAGAAGGACACTTTTTCTTTTCCTTTTAATACCATGCTGTGGTAGTTTTCACGTCAGGAGAGAAATTGTTCTGCCTGGTCTATCCACAGCGGTTTGTCCAAGTAGCATCACACCTGAATGGCACTTTCAATTTGGCAGTAAAAGAATCTGATAGGTAAATAGTTTTTTGCCTTTGAATACATATTCTGCCTCGGCTTTGTCATTTTGCACCTTGGCAAAGAAAAAAACACCTTGATTGCCTTGGAAACAGTGTTTTCAGTGTCACATCTCATTGCTAGAAGTGAGCAGGTCACAGATCAGTGGCTAGATCAAAATGGCCGACAAAGTTACACCTTCGGTTGTCACCTCTTCCTCCACACCTTTGACGACCAGATTTTCACTGTCTTGTCGCTAGAGCCAGAGTGAGAGAAACAGAGAGAGTGGTGGGATGATGAGCAAATGAAACACAACATAGAGAGAGAATAACAGAACATCAATCAGACAGTCTTCCCTTTCAAAACAACCCATTGTACATCAGACACAACATAAAGAGACTGACTTCAAAGTACACTTCACACAAGCTTGCCCACACATACACACTTCATTAAAGACCCTTCTCCATGGTGTCAGTCCAAAAAAAACACACCTCTCAGAAAATGTACAAGTCAGTATGATTCATAACTCTGCAACAAGTCAATCTAATCAACTTGCCCATAACTGTACTCCCAATTGACTAGTCAATTTATTTTTCACTTTCTTGCACATTCTCGCGGCACTAGTTGTAACACCTTGCACTGGTCAATGAGGCAATACACAGGACAGCACCACATTTCTCACTAGCTAAATAAGTTAGCTGTGCACTTTGGCTGATGTTGAGATGCTAAATGTCAATTGAGCTGATTCTGTCTGAAAGGATAATGCTGAGGTGTTAAAGGTCCCCCAACTATGAGAAAAAACATCCTTTTTCTTTTTCTCCTGCTCAGTCTTTCAGAAAATGTGTGTGCAAGCACGCCGTTTGAATTTGCCTCCCTTCTTGATGTCATGAAGGGATCTGATATAGGACCTCCTCCAGTCCTTCAGCGCAGTGCACGAGTCAGGCAGCTCAGTTGTTCAGTATGTTTTGCAGGAAATGCTTTTAAGGTTATGAAGGAAATATGTTCTGGTTTTCCCTCTGATGTCCTCTGGCTGCTCTGCTTAAAGTCTGTAATTTTTATATTTCCTGATGGACAGACTTTTTGCAAATGCTATAGTAACCGCTAGCTGCTGCTACCTCTAGCTGCTGTTATCAGCTAGCGCTGCCTGAACCAGCAGGTTCATGAGGTCCAAAGCTCCTCTACTAACATCAGAGGTGTAAACACCAACACACCCACAGAGAACTAAGCCTCCAGTCTGGGCAGAGTCAGCTAACAGGACGGCTAGCTGCATGGCAAACTGAGCTAACTAGCTAGCGGCAATTATCGTTAGTAGTAGTTAGTGGCTAAATCACCAAAAGTTGAGGCAGAGTAGCTGGATGACATCAGGGGGAAAAACAGAAAATATTTTCTACATTTCCTAAGAGTTGGATGAGAACATTGACACCACTCTCATGTCTGTATGATAACTATGAAACAGGCAGTTAGCTTAGCTAAGGAAATGTGGCGAAACAGTTAGCACACCTACCAGCACCTCTGAACTTAAAAAATTAATTACATCTAAAATGGGGTGGTGGGGTTACATGCTGGACTAGACATGGGTGTGGTTTAGATCTTCTCATCTAACTCGTGGTGAGAAAGTAAAAAGCATATTTCCCACTTAGTAGTAGAGAAACATGAGATAAATGTGATTTGCACACATGAAGAAAAAAATGTTATTCTGAGCAGAAATATGAGTTAATAATTCAGTCAACGAAAAGTTGTTTGTCTTAGTGGAGGCAATGGGCTGCAAATGAACCAGTAACCATGACAGAAGTTTTTAAAAATAGGAGAACTGAGCCAGACAGAGAATAAAAAACAGAAGAAAAGAATGAAAGAAGAATCAAGCAAAAAAGAAAAGGAGGATAGAAACAGAACAGGAGTAAACAGAAAAGTGCAGGTGACCCTCAGGTAAAGAAAACACAAAAGGAGGGGAAAAGAAACACAGCAGGGACAAGAAGGTGGAAATTAGCTAAGAGAGTACCAGAGGAAGGGAGGGTTGGTGAGCGGAGCAGAGGCAATCATGGGAGGCTGGTGGCTCGGCCCTTGATGGCCAGGACCCGTCGAGGAAGACATGGGGTCAAGCCTGGCACATAGTTCCACAACTTCACCCTGCAGTCACTGGGGTTAACAAAGGGAAGGGGGCGATAGAGGAGGAGGAGGAAGAGGAGGAGGACGGTGAGGGTGAAGAACATGAGAGGAGGAGTGGGAAGGCAAGAAAACAGCAAGAGATGACGCAGATCAAAGAAGTGATGATAGAAGAGCACGAGAAGAGAAGACAGGAAGAAGAAGCAGAAAGTTAGTCGACTTCAGTGAAAGCCCACCGGCTGAATGAGAAGATGAACACAGGCAGACTGAAGAGACCACAGAATGTCCCACCCAGACACAAAAACAGTAAAAAAGCTTTGTCCCCATCTGATGCAATTCAGAAAAACAGTAGTACAACCCTCTCCGAGCTACAGAGCTGACACACACCTATAGATAGATGATGAGAGGAAGAAAGCATGAATCATAATGCAGGGGTTCATTCAGAAAAGGGCAACAAATTTGGTAAAGGGCAGACATTTCCTCTCTCTCTGTACCAGTTTCAAAAACCTAAATATAGATATTATGCTCTGATTCCACAAAAAGACTAAAAACAACAATGCAGTAGTTCATCTCTCAATACTTTCTGACTTTGCTACTCTGCCTATGGCACTTATAGTCAAGGCCATGTGTTCCTACTAAAGATTTAAGTCTTAAAAATGGGGTCATAAATATAAAGTTTCAAGGCCAAGTAGTTTCCTAAAATAGCTGGGCACTTGTTTTTTTAATGCGCCAATATTAAGGCGATTTTAACTAACTCACTATCAGAACTAAGATAACATAAAAACAGTCTCTAGTATCTGCACCACACTGCAATGTTTCCCATTCATTGATTTATTTGTGGTGTCGTTTTGGTGGTTCTTAAAGCTAATAAGCCTGTTTCTTCCATGCTGGCATTTCACTGACTTGCTGCAATGTAACATCAGATCAGATCGCCAATTGGTGATCTCAAGTAGACATGATCAGACGATATGAAAATAGAGAAGATCGCCCAAGCCTATCAGATGATTAACACACATTTGGTGCCTTTGTGAATATTTCCAGCAGCAGGACGGTGTATGTGGGATCAATAAAAAAACTAGAGTGTCCATGTTCAGGATAATGAAGGAACATGTCAGCCAGTGCAACATGATCATCACTGGTGTGCCTTTAATAGTTCTTTTTCTTAAGATATATCAGGCTTGCAATACATGTTATCAGGATCAATTAATAAATATTAACAAATAAATTGCATTTATTAAGACATAAAAGGTTTCTTTAACTCACAAAATAGGTAATATTATAAAGAAGGGAGTTTTTTTGCCCTTTAATCACCTCACTACATAAACAGAATGCTGGAGAATAATATATAAATTAAATACCACTTGATATACTTCTGTTTTACAGCCCTAAAATAGGAAACATTTTCAGATTAGTGGGGATGCAGTCCACACACATTATCTATCTTACCTGGACGCAGTAAAGATCTGTCTTGAGTTGGTACATATGGCGTTAATGGGGCTCTCATGACCTCTGACCTCTCCTATGGGGGTGAAGTTGTCTACGTTCCACACCTTCAGCATGCCGCCCCGACAGGCGCTCAGCAGCATGGGCCGGCCCGGGACATACGCCAGAGCGCACACCCAGTCCTTATGGGCGTTGGGGATTTGCTGTGGAGTCAAGGCAGAGAGACGTAAATTCAGAGAGGCAGATTTCACACTGCATGTTTTTACATTAAAAAAAATCCATAAATTGTACAACAGTTACAGGAATGTGAGTCATCTGTTTGTGTTCTTAAAATAGCAGTAGAAAAAACATAAATGTTCATTGCTTCATTTTTAATGGATCTAGATCATCTTCAGTAAAGCAGTATGTCTTGAATGTAAAATGCATGTCGTTGCCAGGCAACATACAAGTACAAGTGTGCCTTGAGTGTATCTGTACTCAGACTGAATAGTTATTCTTAGCTCATGTATCTGTGTTTCTGTATTTTTACAATAGCTTCAAATATGATTCATGAGCTCAGAACACATTCATCGGCCTTATGTTGACTAAGAAAATAAAATTTCATAAAGCAACAGGTGTTTCAACTTTCTTCATTTCAAATTACACAGCAAGTATGTGGCGGGTTAATTTATGAGTAATTTCAGCCCAATGGGCAAATCTAATCTCTATATGACCTTTAAGAGTTGGTGTATAAAGAAATTTTATGCAACATCTTATTGTATTCCATCACCTTTAGAGATTCAAACTGTATTTTCTGCTATTATTGTATTGGATTAATTATATAACTGCAGCGCCACACTTGAGGAACACCTGCTGTGAGGAACAAGCTCTAACAAGGCGGCAACAATACGTGACAGATAGCTTCTAAACTGACATTGCGCTTCTTAATCACACTCGAGAAAATGAAGAATGGAGTGAACCAGAGTGACGCAGCACTGCAGAGGTGAGATATTAAACATAAGCAGGCCAAATACTATCAGTGCCTTAAAATACGGAACAAACGTACAAAACGCTATATTTTACATGAGGCTTTACGAAACTTTTACCAGTCCTAGACTGGATTTTGACGGGTGTTTTTTTTTAAATCCTGTCTATCTCAACCATCTGGGCTGCAGATGAATTCAGCTCTAAACAATGGAACATATACACCTTTATTATGTTCATCTACTGTTGTGTTTTGCATCTGTCATGAACTGTCATTTTCATGTTGCATTTCGAGATTAGCTTTCAACCAAAATACCACTGCAAATGAAGTTCCTGTCATTATTGTTTCCAGCAGGTTTCTCACATAATAATTAGTTTTCTGTTTTACTCTCCGTACATGTTTTTCACACTTTGTATAAGTAAGTCACATAATCTATATCTATTCCTCATTTGCATGCAAGTCTATTTTAACCCTACTCCTTATGCTCTAAACAGACCCACAAGCTTAAATAAAACCATGTGTTTTTCCTGTTTTTAACGTTCTAAGCAAAAAAAGGAAGTCGGGTTTTTTTTACTGGCAGTGATTTCATCTTGAAGCAGAGCTCCAAGTTGTTTCCTGTTCAGTGATTCTTACTGAACATAACTCAGAGCCAAGAGTGATTTAAGTACTGTGAGTGACATTATCCAAATAGCTATAATTTGCTATGTACCACATAATCTAGTGCTGACATCAAATTGCTTTGTATAAACAAAAGTGTCGTATTTGAAAACAGCATCAGTCGGTGGCATTCACAAAGTCATGAGCCACAATAGAACATAAAAAAGTACCATAAGAGGCGACACATTTAGAAACAGAAACCGTTGCCTCAAATGGATACAGGTGAATTGGACGGAAACACTGTTTGGTTACCATGCACAGACAGAGTGGACAGCAGCTATAATGAAGATCTGGATTCTTACACAAAAGTTGGATCCACTGCATCAGTATGTCATCCCATAAGCAGGATTTGATGGCCCAGGAGGACATTTTCCATCCTTTCCTGTCATTTAATTGACCATTTGGTAATCATATCCCACTGCAGTCTAAATGTCTTCTTGTTGGCTAGCAGCAGTGACACCCGGAAAAGCTTTCTGCTGCTGCAACATCTTGAAGGTTTGAAAGGTCATGTTAATAGATATGTCCTTTGGCAGATAAACTGGTGCTTTTAGCTGTTATTTGTGTTTTTGTCGGCCATTGCCACTCATATAAAGTTTTTGGGCCGTAAATGTCAGCACAGAAATGAGGTTGAAAAGATGTATTTGAAGTAATTTAGACACTGTCACACTCTGCCTGTCTGCCATGCGGTGTTTTGCACTCTTGTGTTTAGTTAGTGTTATTTTGGTCTGTTGGGTTTTGGGGGTCTGTCTTGTCTTTCGTCTAGTGTTCGGTAACCCTTGTCATGTCTGTTACCCCCAGTGATCCCTCTGCATGTCTGTCTCTGTTTTCCCCTGCTCTCTCTCTCTCTCTCTCTCTCTCTCTCTCTCTCTCTCTCTCTCTCTCTCTACCTGTGCCTCGTTAGTCTCATGTCTGTCACCTGTGTTGCTCCCGCCCTGCTCATTAGTCCATGTGTATATATACCTGGTGTTTCTGTCTTGTCTTTGTCGGGTCATTGTTTATTGTCATCCAGTGTTGCAGTTTGTTCTTGTGGCTCCAGCCTTACTCGCTGTGTCTCCCTGTTACTCAGTTTTGGATTCTGGTTTTCACCCTTTTGGACAGCCTTTGTTTTTGGATTCAGTCAATCAGCCACTCTGTTTGTAAGTGTGCTCGCCTTTTGTTATATTAAAACCCTTCACTGAACTGCACCTGCTAGCCTTCGTGTCCTGCGTTTGGGTCCTCCAACCAGCTCAACCCTGCCTTCACCACAAAACCGTGACAGACACAGTGTCTCCATTACATAGTTTGTCTGCCAGAGAGCACTGACAAGTTTCACAGTAAAATGTCCCACACAGTACATACTTGGTCACAGTTTTTAAACAAATGTAAGGGATCCAAATAAAGTATTTTGTTTATATAAATATAATGTAAATATATCAGATATCGATATTGCTATCAGCCTCAAATCCAGTATGGGTCGGGCACTTTTATTATCTTGTCTGTTTCAAAGATTCTGGCATCGGTGGTTACAGTATGCCATGTCCAAGGTTGTCAGCTCCCATGAATGAAACATCATTTGAATTTCCTTCTTGATGGAAAAATCTGCTTTTCTTTCAACGTACAAGCTAACCAGCAATTGTCAGCCACTACACAGCATTATGCTCTCAGGGTACATAGAAAACCAAAGCGAAATTCTTACGATTGCCTTACACTTCAAACTTGAAATAGTTTTTGGGAGATATGCATCAAGCAACGGAGAATCACTAAACTATTGTGCGGAGTAATTATAATCAAACTGCTTCACATTCTCTCAAGACACACACCATAGTGTATGCATTTTAACAGAGGGGTCAGAGCACAACAGCTCGCAGCAGCAATCCTGGAGGAGGCAGAGTTTAAGAGTCTACTGTAATATGTTCTATTATACCCTAAGCCACAATTTGATCCTATTACATAATTAGACAGAGACTACTGAGTTGGAGAGGCTGTAAAATGGATTGTGTTGGCTGCTTCACAAATGAGGTTAAGGTCATATGCTGCAGACCACACCACTGACTAAGTTAATTCAGCCTTTGAATGACAATGTCTTATGATGTTTTCTCTGTTTGGATAAACAAAGGCTAAGTAGAACTTGTGCAAACATCTTGAGAAAGTGCTGCTTAATATGCATCTTACTGAGAGTGCAAATGAGTAAGCCACATCCACCCACAGTGTGCATTATAATGCATTATTAACATATGCATGCAACAGAGGATACACAAGAGACACCACAGAAGTCAGCACATGCATACAAAGGCGCGCACACACACACACAAAATGAAATTCCTCTTGGTATCTGTAGCTGTGATGCATGCGGGCTCTAACGCCCTGATGTTGACACAGTGCTTTCCTGCCACCTTACACATGACAACACTGACTTTCTCCAGAGTGAACACTCTGGGTAAAAGAAGACATGAAGGGAGCTGTCCACCGACTGAACGCTGAACTGGCAGCACACTTTTTCACTGTCACGGCCGAGCGAGTGTCAGATAACGAGTAAAATACAGTCTCTACCGTTACTGTATGGGCACAGAAGGTGTGTGTGTGTTTTGTCATGTCTGTGTCATGAGTGTGCGTACAAAGAAGAAGCTGCCCTACTACACAAACTGGTTTAAGACCCCTGGCCCCGATGGACCAAATTAGGCAGTAATGAAGGGAAATCTTAGTTTTGTGCTCCTGTTCAAACACTGCCAACATTAGAAATGTTTTTTTGTTCTGTCCAAAGTCTACAATACAGCTGCAACAAATTATTGTTTTTATTCTCAGTTATTTAGTTCTTCAATTAATCATTTAAACGTGTAGTCTATGAAATATAGAGTTGTCCCAAATAGTCAAAAAGTTCAAAGCTTCATTCATAACGTTGACATTCAACTTCTAAATCAACATTCAAATGCTGTGCAGCTTTTTCTTCTTCACGTCTATTAATTCTGCAGCACGCAGGGTGTGAGGTCATACAAACATAGCGACAAGGTTACATCACTGTCTCCGACTCTTTCCTCTGCTCTCTGTCAGGTGTGTGCGTATGTTGTACCAGGGGCGAGGCTGAGCTACACATATGCACAGCAGACAGGATGAACAGTGACTTCGCTACATTCACAACATCTGGTAATGTGGCTCCTTGCTGCAGGATTTTGTGAGGTTGCAGCCGTGTTTTATTTTGTGCTTTAGAACGTAACCACTAGGAAGCAATCAGAAAATAAATTTATTTTTCTCTGTGTCACTGTTTTGTTCTCGCTAATGTTAACTCTCCTTGTTCACTCTCGAGCTGGCTCACCCACCGCTGCGCTCTCTCTCTCTGCATGGGGCCAACTTTGAATAGTATGTTCACAATCAGCAACCGACAAACCCTAATCCAAATGCGGCAATGTCAATCTGTCAGTCTACCACTTTGATCCACATTGAATTTATTGGACAGATTGCCCTAAAATGTTGTACAGACATTCATGATCCCCAGAGAACAAATCCTATTAATGTTGGTGATCCCCTGACTTTTCATCTAGCGCCACCTCAGGTCAAAAGTTTTATTTGTCCAGTAGTTTGGTTTATGATACCTTCCAAATTAATGCCATTCCCATCAGCCTCAGCTGTACTTTGTGTTGCTTTTGGGGCTGATAACCAAATTTTTGCATGCTAACACACCAACACTAAGGTGGTGAAAATGTTAAACATTATACCTGCTAAGCATCAGCGTGTTACCATTGCCACTGTGACTAGCACTAGCATTTAGCTCAAAGTACCGCTTGCCTAAGTACAAATGAACCGAGCTGCTAGCATAATTTAGAGTAGACTCTTAGTTTTGTTGCTTGATAAATTACTTAAATAATCAATTTATTAATCAAAACCACCACTTTACACCAGAAGCTGTCCTTTGAATTATCTCTCAAATCCCTTTGACACTGTGTTGCTGTGTTAGCACTCTATCTGTATTGCATCCACCATATTACTCATGTTTTGTTGAGCTTGTTGTCCTGTTAATTATGCTTATTCTGTGTATGTACATTCAGAGTGATGTCAAACCGCAGTAAAATTCCTTGTGTGTGTACACATACCTGGCTGATAAAAGTGATTCTTATTCTGATATGGAAAGAATGGCTTTGGGGTCAAGAGATCATGAATTAAAAGTCTGCAGGCTCACTGCACATAATGTCATGAGCAGCACTGAAGCACAGTCAGGGTTTCAAACAGTATGCAACATGCGCACACACACAAACCTGAGTGAGCTCCTGTTGCTCCAGATCCCATTTCTTGATGCCGTTGTCTCTCGACCCGCTGAACAGCACATCTCCCTGGACAGCCAAACACTCAATGCCGTCATAATGGGGCGGCTCAAAGTTATGAGCTGGACCTACATTACCCATAGTTCCCTCTGCCACGTCAAACACCTGAGGACAGAACAGGAATCAGCAGACTGTGAAAGGTGCGTCTGCATCTGTGGCGTGGTCTAAATGATGGTCTGAATATGTGTGTGTGTGTGTGTGTGTGTGTGTGTGTGTCTCTGCTTGGTACCTTGACATAATGGTCTTTGGAGCCAGTGATTACTTGATCTTTTCCCAGAAGAGATTGTCCCACTGTCAGACACATGACGGAGCCGATGTGGCCTGTCAGCTTCCCCATCCCTTGCATCCTACACATACATACATACACACACACACACACACACACACACACACACACACACACACACAGGCACGTAGCAAAGGAGGTGAAGCGAAGGTCTGTGAAATTCACTACTTACAAGAATGTGATTTTCAAGGTGCCAGTTTCACTGAATGAAATCAATTTCCGTCTCAAGGGTGAAGTAAAACTGCTGAGACACAGCGATGCCATAGGCAAAGATGATACTAAAGAATTGTTTAATACATTCATTTTTCATTTCTTGGGGGTTCTTATGCATCATTAAATGGGTCTGAGCCCCTCAGCATAAACTGTCTGGTCCAATCAGTTAATCATTTCCCTCTAGAAGCATAAAAACTGAGGAGAAGGCGGCGTTAATGTAGGAATTCAGAAATAGGTGCCTGGTAGAAAACATTTACATTTATCTGATGCTTTTATCCAAAGCGACTTACAATTGCTATACTTGTCAGAGGTCGCATGCCTCTGGAGCAACTAGGGGTTAAGCGTCTTGCTCAGGGACACATTGCTGGATGAGTAACAGTGGGGGACTGAACCCGGGTCTCTCACACCAAAGGCATAGTATTATCCATTGCGCCATCGCCAACACACTCATGTACACAATTCAAATCACCAGTGCTGAGTTCCTGCACTTTCTTTTGACCGCCTTTTTTAATCTGTTCAGTCAGATATTAATCAGCTCTCTTAACATCTGATAAGTGATTATATACATCTGCATCCATGTCTAAAATAATTTAGAGCTGGCTGTAAAGAATCTATCTGCATGAATTAACCACTGAATGTGGGAATCTAACCACATACATCAGTGAAGGAATTAATAAACAGATAGATACATGAATGACTGACTTCATGCTTGAATCAATAATTGGATGTATAGGTCAATGAATGAATAAATGAATGAATGAATGAACAGATGTACCTGTTGAGGTCCCACATGCGAACAGTGTTTCCAGCAGCAGCATAGAGCACAGAACCTGACGGGTTGAGGGCGATCTGGTTGATCTGACACTCGCCCTGTGCAAAGGTTATTGTGCGGGTGGTGGTGCCCGCACACGCATCACCTGAAACCACCTGCCCCGATGAACTGTAGGGGTAAAGAGAAGCCAAATAATGTTAGAGAGAGGGACATATGTAATCAGCAGAGTTTTATGTCCTTTGCAAGATGCATTTCACATAAAATTTCTTGGTTGGATTGCTCCAAACAGTTTAATCTGGCTGGCTGCAGGGAGGAAACTTACGTAAACGTGCGGACACACTTGGCAGAGTCGCGGATGTCCCACACCTTGATGTAGGAGGTGGAGACAGAGAAGACCAGACAGGAGGAAGGGCAATATTTGACTGATACCACATTGTTTGGGTGGCCTTTGAGGGTGACTATCTCCTGACCTGTTACCAGGTTCCACATCTTACAGGTACGATCTGGAGGAGGAAAGTGCAGTTCAAATACTCTGTGCAACAGAAGCACAGACTTGGTTGACACTTGCCTAAGCCTAAAAGCAAAAAGCCAGGGAGAAGGGGGAAACAGCAAGCCTTGCTCTCTCCAAAGTGAAGAAATATGGCTATCGACCTCTCTAAAGCTGTGCTAACTAACACATTGTCTTTTGTTTGTTTAATCGGCACACAATCAGAGATGCAAAAATGACAAAACCACAAATCGTCCTTTTTACATCTCATTTTATGTTCAGATGAGAGAAATAGTTAGAGTTAGATGATACTAATTTGGCACCTGTGCGGTAAATTAGGAATCTACATCCAGCAACCAGTTAACTTAGCTTAGCATGTAACAAAATCTGCCTGCCAGAACCTCTAAAGATCTATAATTCGCTTCATCTTGTTTGTTTAATCCGTACAAAAAACGATAAACAACATCATAAATTTTACACTTTTTATCCGTTTTTGTTAACATGTTTAACAAACGAGACATACTTTAATGTTACCTTTGGACAGAGCCAGGCGTTTATGCTAAGCTAGACTAATCACCTCCTGGCACCAGCTCCATGTATAACGCACAAACATGGGAGAGGTGTCCATCTTCTGATTTCACTCGAAAGAGAGCAAATTAGTGTATTTCCCAAAATGTCAAACTACTCTTTTACTGGTGTAATTGTTTTGAGATGACAAGCTTTAAGTCATCGTGTCATTTGCTTCAACATTTTAAAGATCCATTTAAAAGAGCTTTATGTAATGCTATATACTATTATTTAAACAACAGCCATTAAGGCCATTTAAGGTTTCTGTGAAATACCCCTTAAATAAAGACAGTACAGTTAATGGTATGTGTACCTTTAGATCCAGTGAACAGCAGCTCATCTGTAGCATCCACACACAGGACTGGCTTTGAGTGGCCCTCGGCTACAGAAACACACTGCAGAGGCGCCGTCCGACCCCCCTTCACACCCCCAATGGGATTGATTACACCCCTAAAGATCATACACACACACACAGCGTCACAGTCTCATTATTATAAATCAGTGAAGGTGATTACTTTCCACACATCTACAGATGCACGCACTGTTAGACACACATGCACACAAAACCACAAATATTCTTTCTGTTACACAGAGACGACACAAAACCACACAATCCTCACTGGATACATACAGATGATGTATTCCCCTTAGAAAACTATGCTCATATGCAATCACACACACAAGTTCCTGTTTTTCTGAGGCAACCTGCTCGATCTCTCTTACCTTCCTCCACCCCTCATCCCTCCTTTCTTTTTGTTGTGGAACAGCCCAGTTAAGGCACTTCAATAGTAAGGGCTGCTTTTCTATTCCCCTCTCTCTCTAACACACACACACACACACTTCTACATCCCGCTGACAGGCCACAGTCCCAGAGTGCTCAGAGAGGAGTCAGTAGAGTGAGACAGAGCAGGCAGTGGGTGAGAAGAAGGAGGAATGTGGGAAAATTGGTCCCTTGTGGGCTTCCTAATAACACCAGTGTGTGTGTGTGTGTGTGTGTGTGTGTGTGTGTGTGTGTGTGAGTGAGAGAGAGTGAGTGAGGTAGAGAGCAAAACAGTGAGGGAGAGCCAGAGGATGTGAGGAGGGAAAAGAGAATCTGTGATTACACACAAAACTTGGGACAAGATTTGTTTCTGCACAGAGTGAGCAAAATACAGAAGGGTACGCTTGAAACGTGTCAAAGATGGCAACATGCTCCTCTTCTGTGCCTGCACGTACGCTGATGTCCCAGCATGAAAACACACACACACACACACAAAAATACACACGTCAAATCAAAAATGAAACACTAAACCATACTTTGTGGGGCTTTTTTTATAAACAGTGCATAAAAATGCCAACCAAAATCAAAAACTGTCAATCATCAGCCAGTGAAAACAGATTGCATGCATGTCTGCCAAGTCTCAAGAAACACAAAAGAGAGCCGACTTGCACAAAATAAGCTCAAAACAATTGTCATCAGCTGCCTGGAACACCAACTACACAGCAGCCTGCAACTCAAAAATAAACCACAGCACAACGTACTGAGATGTCATCACCACCACATGCAGCATTCATTGCAGATTCGGCACCTCCACAGCCAATCGCCTTTTAGGGCCCAGGGAAAAGGGTATGTGGTACATGTGGGAGATGTAACAAGTCAGATTATCAGCTTCTGCAGAGCTGCAAAATCCTGACTGTGATGGCAGGTGTACAGAGTGAACGCAGCATTACATAAAATCTGCCCCTCCCTCTTTTTGGTCCAATTCCATTTTGGACTGATGATAGAACGGAGGGTATTTCTTTGATAAAAAGACGAAGAAACTATGTGTGTAGCCCTCCTATTAATATGATTTTTTTTTTATAAGTGAAGAAGAGAAGGGAAAGAACTTTTTTTTTTTTAAATGGTGAAGAAGAATTTGAGGTGCAGTTTCATTTAAATGAATCTTATCACTCTGAATGCTGTTCACCTTATCATGTTGTCTGAGGAAGGGTCTTGTGCTCCATCCTCATTGGTTAATCACATCATTGTCCTGGTGGTAAGCATATTTAACTGGAACTTCTATACTTACAACCTCTCAACCAAGCTACTTTGTTTACCTGCCGGGAAATCATCATGTTTCATTATTTTAAATACTTTCTTTTCTCTTTTGTTTTTCTCTATAAGGACATATACTGCCAATGCTATAATAATGCTTAATGCAGCACTCCATTTCTCACAGCACTGTGCTGGTCCAAATGACAGAAAGTGTTCCCATTCTATCAGCATCTGTGGAAGATCTCATAGTGTGACGTGTTGTGCACTATGTAAGGTGCTAATGGATGTTGCAGGGCCATGAGACCAGCAGACTAATGAAAACATGGAGGTTGATCAGCGTGAGCTCTCTGCAGTACACATAAAAACATAAGAGCTTGGCGAGAGGTGCATCAATGTGTGTGTGTGTGTGTGTGTGTGATAAAGACACAGAAATACAATGTCTGATCAAAAAGAGTGTTTTTTAAAATCATTTTTATATAAATGCATTCTGTTTGTCTTAAAGGAATAGTTTGGCATTTTGAGAAATATACTGTACTTGTTTGGTTTCTTGCTGGACGTCAGATGAGAAGATGCACTCCTTGTTTCATGTCTGTACACTAAATTTGAAGATACAGCCAGTGAGCAGCCAATTATCTTAGCTTACGGACTAGAAGCAGGGCGAAATAGCTAGCCTGGCTCTGCCCAAATGTAACAAAATCTGGCACCTAGCACCTCTAAAACTCACTAACTGACTCATTAAAATTTTGTATTGTGATTAATCCGTACAAAATATTTAGTATAAAAACTAGCGCCTCTGCTGGTTGCCTGGCAAACTAACAGTGATGACAAGGAGCCACTGCACCTGGTCAAGAAATAACCCACAAAATAACCATCCATTAGACCACTTCAGATTTGATTTAAATGTACGGATTTAACAAACAGGATATAACATGTTCAGAGGTATTAGATGCTGTGAAATATTACATTAGAAGTGCTATTTTCAGAAAGAGCCAAGGTAGCTCTTCCCCCCCGTTTCCACTCTTTGTGCTAAGCTAAGCTAACTGGCTGCTGGCTCCAGCTTCACATTTAACAGACGGATGACATGGGAGTGACATCAATCTTCTCATCTAACACTTGACAAGAAAGCTTGTATAAATTGTATTTGCACCTTCATTCATTTCCTATTGCATCCTATAGAAAAGTGGTAAGGTTCATTCAGGTCTCGTGTGCGAGCAACACCACGGAGAAACACAACATCACACAGGTGGGAAAGGCCAACGGGTCCAGAAAGCCGCATGTGGTTAAAACATGCACCACAACGACCTCATCCGCAGAGGAGCGGAAAAGGAGGTGGAGAAGAGGCCAAATGAGGCACTGACTATTGGTGGAGACAAGATGACACCAGGTGAGTTAACAGGCAAATGGGAAAACAGAGAGTGACAAACACAGTTCCTCTACCTGAGCACCTCGGAGAGCGAGGAGTCGCTGTCATCCGACCTGGAGGCAGAAGAGGAGCAGGAGAGGGGAGGGCGGGGCAGGAAGAGGAAAGGGTTAACCACGCTAAGGAAAGACAGAAGGGTTACTGGCAAAGGGTTAAAGGGAGGAGTGACTAGAGGAAGCGTTTTAGATATAAAGCAGTGAGCAAACTGTCAGGAAAGCGCAGTCAAACAATAACGCTTATCCAGTGATTATCAGGCACTTTGCCATGAAATGTGCTTCTTCCCAAAGATAACCACTGAACAGGCTGTATTCGTTGACCACTGTCGTGTTTACTGTAGTACACCCACATTAAGCAATGGCTGATTTGGTACACATGTTTCTAGCGGTGTTAGGGCAGACATTAAAGGTTAAAGGTTTAAAGGAGTAGTTTGACATTTTTGGAAATACGCATATTCATTTTCTTCTTCAAGAGTTAGATGTGAAGACCACTCTTATGTCTGTACATTTAATATAAGGTAACAGCCAGCAGCTTAGCTTAGCACGAGTAGTGGAAACAGGGGAAACAGCTAGCCTAGCTTTGCCCGGGAGTAACAAAATTCACATACCTAAGCTCACTAATAAACTAATAAATAAGGTTATATCTAATTATAATTTTTTTTTTTTTTTTTTTTAGATTTGTAGAGATTAGCCTATATTTTGTGGTTTTACATGGGGTTATGTGCTAGGCTAAAACCACAACTTGTCATTTTTACTCTTTTTTTGCAGATTAAACAAAGAGATGTATGTTCATTTGGGAGATTTAAAGGTGCTGCCAGGAAGATTTTGTTACCTTCGGACAAAGCTGGGTTAGCTGTTTCCCCATCTCCAGTATTCATGCTAAGCTAAGTTAGCCGGCTGCTGGCTGTAGCTTCATATTTAGTGCGCAGACATGAGATTGGTATCAAACTTCTCATGAAAAATGGTGAATAAGCATATTTCCAAGAATGTCAAACTATTCATCTGAACAAAGAAAAAAAAAAAGGTACTGAAAGAAAAAGGGAAGCAGTCAAAGAGGAATCACTGATGCCAAGATAGTCATACATAAAGATCAAAGACCTGCACATTAAAATTTCTACACTTTTGTAGACTTTATCCTTAATGTATGATTCCCCTGATGCCAGTGTCCACTCCCAAGTCTTTCCAGCCATATTCAGGAAATTAGTGCAGAAAAGAACATAAGGGACAACGATCAGGGTTAACAGAAGGGAAAATCCATAATCGAGGATAAGGTTGTCAAACAAACTCACAGGTGAGCCTGCTCAAAGCTGTCAAAGGAAAAAAAACACACTAATACAGTACCTCCACAACAGCTCTTACGGAAAGGCTGGTATGTGTGTAACAGTGCAATAAAATTGTTATTATATTGTAAATATTTCATAGCCTCAGGTTTGTCACCATGAGAGCCTGTGCTTTACACTCTGAGCATGAAATAATAAAACAAAATAGTACTGTACATGTCTGGAGGGAGCAACAGTGTTAAATGGTGATAGAAGTTCCTCCATTTCTTGGTATTTACTGTTGGCGACAGTGGCTATTAGCATATTAATATCCGCTTTTCTTTCAGACTCTCATGACAAAATCCTTTTTATATTCATTGGTTTTCGAGGATGCTAATGTAGCTATTGTGGAGATTAAAAAATAGATCTGGGATTCAAACCCTCTTTATCCAACAGAATACAAGAAAACTTCTCATGCGTTTTTGGAAATCTACGTCAAATGCTTGATCCCAGTTCTCATACGCAAAAGATATATTCAAATATGAATCAGTCAAAAACAAAAGCAGAATGTATCCATACATTCTTATTCATGTCTTCTTGCCTTTTAATTGGTTTTGTGAACTTAAAGCTTCTCCTTCGACACCCAACTACACAGAATTCATACAGTTGATTTTCAATAAAGTAGCTTCATTTAGCTTTGGATGTATGCTCGTGATGATGAATTAAGTGTTAGAGTTAGGTCAGTGGCAGTAATGTTAGGACAATGAAACCAAACAAAACCAAAACGATGGTTTAAATGATGAATCTCTGGTAAAATATCGCTCACTCCAGTCAACAAAACATTTACGCCACCCACACCTCACTTAAAACAAGAGTGCAAATGACAAAATTATGTTAATACCTTCCATCAAATTGCAACAATGTAAAAACCTCACACCATTTCACAATCCCCCCATCATGCTCTCTGAAAAGGCTTGTCCTGTGGGAACTACATGGTAGACCCACTAAACATAAATATCCTCACACTGCCACAAGAGTCAATTCAAAATGGCTACCAATGACAACAGCTGCATGGAAAGATGACAAGACTCATTTACCTACCCCAGCTCCAGATAATGAGGACCCACAGGCTCCTACACACATATCACACGTGCAAAAATTCACACATATAGCACACACACAAACAACTCATTTCCCACAGCATCCTCGTTAACAATTAGGGGTCAATAAAGCTGAGAAATGTTGCGGATTAATAAAGATTACAAAACAAGCAACTTTAGAGCCTGAAATGCTGATTGAAATTAACTGCTGACATTTGTCCAAGTGGAAAGCTGGAATTGATTGTTCGCAGGAAGGGACAGGGCCGGCTTCTCATTCCAGTCTTGGCACCTTCGGCTGGCTGACATTAACATGCATCTCATATCCACATTATGTCTCCATCTGATGTAGCCATACTACACACGTACACCCTGAGAGGTGTTCAGAATATCTGTTTTGTGTATGTAAATAGGATTGGAAAAAACAACATTTAAAAACAGGCCAATTTCACGCCACAATTAACTACAGCCTCAAAAATCACCATGCATTTCAATCCAATTCTTTCTGACACTGTGTCAAAAATGAGATAAGATTTATTGCAGGGCTGTTTTTTTATTGGATTAGATTAGATTGTACAAGATGGTTTTTCTTTCCCTAGCCCAAATGCAAATCATGTATATCATTGTCATGCACATCACATCGTCTCAACACAGACATATCATACCACATCCAACCCCTAACCACAACTGCCCTGACAATTTGTTTCTACAGAGGATGTTACTATCTGATAAGGGTGCTCCGATCGATCGGTCACCGATCATAATCGGCCGATAATGGCTTTAACTAGTTCGATCATGGTCGCTAAAAAGGCCGATAAGAAAAGCCGATCAGATGATGCAATACTCGCCAGACAACTTTTCAACGGCAGCTAAAATGTTTCACTACGCTGTGTGAGCGGTTTTCAAAGCTAGCTAGCACCAAAGTCCTTCTCAGACAAGAAGGGATTAATGCGCCCACACAATCATTTACAATTACAGTTGAGCAGAATTCAGACAAGTGGAGCAACAGGCAGGAGCGATCATGTGAAACTGTCGCAGCTGTGCTCATCTCACTCACACGCCACCCGCAACCGGAGTTTAACAGACACAGCGCATCAGGCAGAGAGAGAGACTGATCCTTCAGTGAGTTTCCTGATGCAAAGAGCAGCGCCACTCAATTAGCTGACTGTCTCTCTCTCTCTCTCTTCGTTACAAAAACAGAGACCTTTTGCTACGTTTCCGCCTCCCGTCCAGATTAAAGCGGTGAATCAGAAGATGTTTGTTTGAAAACGCTGCTGACCCGATGGACAAAACAGAGGACTTTATAAAACGATAACACACACTCACATTTGGCTTTGTGAGTCAGTCTTATCAGTCATGCAAAGCAAAAACACGATGCTACTTACAGAGTTTTAGTTTTGGTATTTTTATTAAACTATAAGTACTGTGTAAATAACACTTAACAGTTAGCCTAGCCTACTGTGCATGTCGCTGTATTTGGCCACTATGGCCACTAAATGTGTGTTTTCAGTCATTCTAATATAGACAGAGATCAACTCTGATACGCAGCTGAAACGCTGCTGTGGACAGAGAAGATCGCTTTCGTTATAAAACTGTTTAAAAACGTAGCAGTGTGGATAGAGCCTCACATTACCCCACTCCTCTCTCTACTCCTCTCATGTCAACCCTACCGTTCTCCCCGTAAATCTCCCGTATTTTTAACCTTTATAAAGTCAAACAAAAACCTTCTGGCCGTATTTAAAGTGTTTGCTATTCTCTCCTCTGGTAAAGTCGGTGGCAGCATCTAAAATATGTAGACTGTCCTTCCTGCACAAGGATTAAAAATGGAAACAATCCACTGTAGCCTACTAATGGCAAACCATATGAAATTATAATGAATATAGTAGCCTATGTAATATTAACAATTGACTGTATAATATGGAATTTACATTGTAGCCTATTTTTATTTAAATTTTCCTTATTTTCAAATCTCATTGGAGGCAGTTATGACTCCTCTCTGTGGCCCTTCTCCCTCTCTCTGCTCCTCTCTCTCTCCCTTAAAGCCCACAGAACCTGCCTGAGCTTTCCAGAACAAAAAGCAGCTACTTCAGAGTTTATCATCGACTCATTGATGCCTGTGCTCCTTTATCTCCTAAATCTTTTGGCTACAGCCTTTTTTGTTGCAGTTTTTATGGTTGTAGTAAATTGATAAAGATGCTGTTTGTTCTGTTTTTGTAGTTTATTCCACAGTAAAGCTATATTTGTTAAGCTATAAGATGTTCACAGTAACCAGGCAAAGGCTGCTATGGTTTAAGTCTCTAACACAGATTGAGCGGAATTTGTTGCCCATGTTTCCTGGCAATAAAATAAACAGTTGTCATTTCATGATACCTTATCATCTGTTAACTTTAACACTTAATACATTGTTTTTAGGACCAATTAAATAAATATACAGTATACTGTATAATGCTACATGATAAATAAAAGGCTCCAAATAGACCCAGTGATCGGTATCGGCCGATGCTGCTTTCAGCAATTGGTGATCGGCCCAAAAAATCCTGATCGGAGTACCTCTACTATCTGAGCTGCCGTTGATTTGTATTTGTTTCCTGGTAACTCCTATATATGGATTGGAAACGCACCTCAATTACACCTTGTTGTTAGTGCAGCTCTGAGTAACTTGTGTTTGTGGTTTGGATGATCAGATCTTCAATGCATCTTGAATGCTTGTATTTAACACCTGGATTCAGTGAATGTTTGTGCCATCTGTCCCCACAGGAACTCCATTAATGCCAGACAAAAAGTCTTTTTGTTAAAGAGTGGAATTCATCGGAAGAAAGTGCATGTGAATGAGCGAAAAACACTTTGCTCTCAAAAGGCCTGACCTTCAGCCTGTCTACAGGGTCAGTGAAGACATTACACAATGGAAGAGAAGAAAAGAAAAGAAAGGAATGGTTCTTTCAGTCGAAGTGAGACTGAACTGATCAGATGACAATGTGGGGACAGTGTGTGAATGCACAGTACCGTGTCCTTGTGCAAGAGTGTACTCACTTGTCCAGAGCAGACCCTTGGGTTTGGTTGCTGGTGAGCCTTGAGAACACGTTGCGGTCGTTCCTGGTCCTCAGAGGAGGGGAGGAGGGGGGAGTATAGCCATCAGTGGGCCTGATAAGGGGAGGGAGGGTGAGGAAGGTTAAGATTAGAAAGAGACAAGAATTAAGAGTTAAGAATGAAGGAGTATGAAAATGACATTACAGAGTATAAAATGTGATCAATCTGCCTACAGAAAAAATTTTAACATTACAGTGCTTGTACCTGTACGCACGGTCGTAAGATTTCCTCCTTGTTATGGGGGAAGTGTCATAACCCCGAGACTGCCTGGGACTGAACACACACACACACAAAAGCAAACTAAGCAAATCTACAAGGGAGTGCACAGGAGGATGATACACGTTTATGTAAACTGTTGGGACTCTACAAGCAGCAAGTCTAGCAATTTCTAACAGACTAAAGAAACTAGCAGGCTCCTTTCTTTAAATATAAAATTGCACACAACCCGGCCCTCCATCCCACAGGACTGATATAAATGTCACTGATCTCTCCTCCTGAAGCAGTTTTATATCCTAAAGAATGGCAGGCCTCGGGCAGGTTGCCAGAGTCTGTTAGTTTGAAAGTGTGCAGTAAAACTATAATCAGCACTTTTTTTGACAACTTTGTATATATTACCAGGAAATAAAATGTAAAAACATGTTCTTTTCCATCCTTGATGTATTTGGGATATTCTACTGGGTGTTTACTTGTGGTTATGCAAGTATCCTCATGCTTCTATCCCACTTGTTTGTTTATCTCAGTTTTCTCATGTTTTATTTTTAAAAAGTCACACATTTTCCACTTCAACCCATGGCATCGGCATTCAATGACTCTGTTCTTCATCTTGCTCAAGGGCACTTCAGCAGAACAAATGTTTACCAACATGGGGGTTAGAGATGCAGGTTTCCTAACTGAAGAATACTCAGAATAACTAACAGTCCCACACAGCAGAACTGTGATGCCTAACCAGGGGTACTTCTGCCGGTCCCAGGAGGTACTTTTTGATTTGTAGACGACCTAAACTAATCATTTAGTCAAAAAAGTCTAAACAGTTAGCTAAAAGTAATGCATAAACACTCATGATTCACTTACAAGGTGTGTCCCCTGATAGGTAGGCTGATGGTGCGGGACGCCCGGTCCCTGTGGTAAGGGTCTCGTATGGCCAGGCTAAACCCCAGACTCGTTGTCCCCAGGCTCAGGCCGTCCTCCTGGATGTCCGTCAGCGAGGCCAAAGACTTTGTGATGTGCTGCGGTTTGCTGCCTGATGAGGGGTCCAGGATGGGACCCAGATACTCCGCCGACACCGCCTTTATCTGAGCTGACAGACGAGGCTCCACCTGGGGTGACAAATGTGCACCATTTGTATTACAGAGGACGGCGGACGGGATAATGCAATGAGAAAGACGGAGGACAGAGGGATATGAAAAACTGAGACATAAAAAATAGATAGAGATTGAATTTAATTAAGGCACAAGAGGAAATTAAGATACAGCCTGAACACATTCAGCAGGGAAAAGGGCAAAGAGAATATAAAAAATAGTAAAACAAACGTGCTAGAAACAAGATGGCAGCCATTGTGGGCTTAAACAAAGGCTGACAGATGAAAACAACAACTACAAAACACAATAAAGGATAGACAACTCAGCAGGACTGGTGTCAAATCAAGGGCTTCCTCCTGGGAGTAGCAAACCAAGCTTTAGGAAGTCTTTACTTATACTGCCACCTCATGGTTCCACACCAGAACAGCAGCTGATCTAACAGACAAACTGTGGCATGTGAGCAAGTGTGGAAACACAATCGCTACAGCAAAAACATTAATGCCATCTGACAACACGCAGTGATTCATAAAGATCTGACAGCCGTGGACACTGCAAGACGAAGCACTACCTGACTTTTTGAGCACACTCTCCACACAAACAAAAATCTAGCCACTCTGTGAAAAAAATATGGAAGTAATGTTCCGATCTGGAGAGAAGAAAACTGGACAAAGGACACCTCTATTGTATAAACAGGAAGGGTGTGGATTGAAGCTGGTGTCTCTTTAAAACTGCAACATGTGTAACAGCGCTAAATAACAACTGTGCACTTCAACAACACAAATCAGCTTTACCTTTATCTTGAAATCATCTTGGCTGTTGGACTCTTTCATTTGAGATACACTGCAGAGAGGGAGAAAATGAGAGTTTGGTTAATATACATTTATACAGAGAGAGATGGAGTATATATGTTTCAGATGAAAGTTTTACAGGATGAACACTATTTTCTACAAAACAACACAAACTAGCAGATTTTATTTAAATGTGTGGGATGTGCATCGAGGATGTTGTGTGGGCGAGCAGACTGCAGTCTCACCTGCTGTCGGAGGCTTGGCTGAACTCAGAGGGCTCCTCGTCTGTGCTGGCGTAACCATTTTCTGGAAGCACACAAAACATCGTCAGAGCCCGGAATACCGCACATGCACTGCAACTCGGTATGTCTGTATCTGCCACAACCTACTCCACTACCATATTTTCCCAGTTAAATTTCTTTCACTGCATTTTCAGTTGTAACATATTCTCTAAGGCTGATTAAGGCTCATCACTTTTACCAAAACGTCGCTGAAAAGATAGCACGAGCAAAAGAGAAAATGCAAGTGGATGACTGAGAAAGACGTACTGCTTTGAAACTGGTGGTGGTGTGTTTAGAGGCTCTACGGTTCACTTGAAAGATTTCATCCCACAATTAAGCTAACACGTTCAGAGCAAAGTTTTGCGTGTAACATTACGCTAAATGTAAATGCACTGATGCAAGCTAAAACAAGAAATATGAGCGGGATGTGGGGCAAAGGAACATAATGTACTGTATAAAGTCTTACACATTGTCATACAGGCCTAAAGACAGACAAAACACAAGACTCACCCTGCTGTACATTGTGGATAAGAGCCTGCAGCTCAGGGATATATTCTGCCTTTTCTCGCAGGGCATCAAGGATCATGTGATTGTGGGATGAGCCAATCATATCCGTCTGTCTCAGCTGGCCCTCCAGCAGTCTGACCTGAGCCTCCTTCTGAGCAACCTGTAAACTCTGCGCGCACACACACACACACAAACAGTACTGTGTAACACTAAACGTTTAGACCAGGTAATATTTACACATCAGTAAATGAGGCCACCTAGAAAATATGTTGTTTTAATTTAATTAGGATGTTTGCTGAGCTCTTGTACAAAGAGACACCACTAGATGTCACTGCAACCTTTATTATAGGGGGCAGCATAGCTCAGGAGGTACAGCTGTCTTCTAGCTATGGGAGGGTTCCTGGTTCAATCACCGGCTCCTCCAGAAAGAGTGTTGAAGTGCAAATGAGCAAGACACTGAACCCCTAATTGCACCTGATGAGCAGGTTGGCACAGCAGCCTCTGCCATCAGTGTGTGAATGGGTGTGAATGGGTGAGTGTTGTTGTGTGTTCTATTTTTAGTGTATTGTATTTAAACACTTATAATAGTTCCATTTATGCTTTTCCATATATGCTATACCTTTTTAGAGTTAATTCTATTTTCAATAAAAGCAATTATGTCATGTAGGAAAGCAGAAGATGCATTTGTAAGTGAATAATCTGGAAAATAAAGACTTGTGTACTCATTTCAGGTGGACGTAGCTCCAGTTACTCAGAGATACCAGAGCTTCATGATGATAAAACATAAATCCACTCAGATCTCTGCTGAAATGCAGATGCAAAACAAACATTCCAAAGTGCCCAAAACTGATGTAGGCCTACATTAAATTTTTATCCTGTTGCCTTAACTTTGGATTTTTTCTTAGACAAAATAATTTATTCTTTGCTCTTTGTTTCTAATGCAGATAATTTTTACTCTGTATTACAGTATTAACTGCTGTTAAAAATAAATAAACAGTGTTTCTGATGCAGGACTTTTAATAATCTTTTTATGTGTTTATCTTAATAGACTCAAAAAAAAGGAGCTTTACACACAACCTTATCAGAGCTACTAATAATAATATTACTTCATTTATTATAGCACGCCAATTTAAGCATGCCGTCCTCAACTTCAATCATACACAATGTAATTTTCCAACAACAAAAATGTGGCTCGTAAAAATGCTGCGTGGTTAGTAACTTTGGAAATCCACTAGTCACATTGGCTAGTGAGCAAAAAAGTTAATGTCAAGCCCTGGTTATACACACCTCCAAGGGTGCACATTTAAATAGCTTCAACACTACTGACTTTACAAATGGCCCTGTATGATAACTCACTTTGTCTATGGAAGCCTTCAGGAAGTGGTCCAGCAGGTGGCGTGCTTCAGCCAGAGAGCAGGAGCTGATCACCACTGAGGTGTCCACTGAGTCCAGCTCATCCTGCAGGACAATCACAAAGGCATTACTAGAGGCCTCTTATCACTTTTTACAGCTGTGCAGCAAGTATGTGTGTGTGTGTATGTGTCTGTGTGTGTTCATACCTTGGTCTCTTCTATCTGTACAATGGTGGCCTGGCAGTCAGAAAGGCTGTCATTGATATAGTCTATATTGGCATTCAACACCTCTATCTCCTCATTAATTTCCTGAAGGAGGCGGTCCTCTGCTTCTGGTCCCTCCCCGTCTGCCATTAGAACCTCCCTCTTATGCGAGAGCGCTTCCTGCTGGCCCGTCAGCTCCTCTCGCTTCTGACTCATCAAAAACACACACAGCACAAAAAAAGTCAGAGCTAAAAGTTTATAAAAAATCTCTTTCTGTCTTCAGAGTAAAATGTACATTTTACCCTTTTGTATGTTTCCTTTTTAATTCCCACTAATAATGCTGCTCATCTCACAGTGTGTATTGGCTTTGGTTTATTGTATCACAAAACATTAAAATTCTTCCATGTCCTCTCCAGTGCTACACTTCAGGTCGAGGCCATGTCCTGATGTAACAATAAAAACCTGTGTAATCCCCGTAACGACACCTCAACCAGCACTATTTTCCACCTTTACCTAGAGTAAAAATTGAAGGCTTTTCCTACCTTGATAAGGCGATCCATGTCAGCTTCCACGTTCGAGATGGTCATTCTCTGCATGACAATGTCCATAATGCGACGCTCCAGGGCTTGCCACTTCTGACGGGCAGACTTGGAGAAACTGCTGGCTCTGCCCGCCACTCCAATGTTGCCCATGCCCGCTGGCTTACGCTGCAACTTCTTCCTACTGCTGGGAGGAGACAAAGAGAGAGGAAGGGATGGATATGAAAGATGTGACAGATGCAACCTAAGTGGAAAAGAGTAGAGGTAAGAGTTACGAGAGGGAGAGGGTATAAAAGGGACAAATGGGCAGTCACCAGCCTTAAAGTTACCCATCACAAATAAATAAAAAGCATCACATCAATTGACACGGAAGAAACACTCATCTCTATTGAAATCCACTTGTAGTATATGCACAGTGATTTTTCTGTGGTTTTTAGAGCTTTTTTACTGAAAACAGCTGCCTAACGCGGCAAAAGACAACAAGTGTGATCTAAAATAGAAATGTTGCAGGCCGGACAGCTGAAGCTGAGCTGAAACTCCTATAAAGCTGCAGATTTGGTTTTTTCTAATTCTCTGTAGGTTCATCTCTATGGGCGACCCCCTTTCACATTGTCATTTCACACATCGCTATTATGAAAATATCAACTAAAGCTGTTTGAACAGTGTAAACACGTGCAAGTGCAAAGTAAAGATTATACTTTGACTACATCAACCCGTCTTACCCAATGACCCGGGTTCCATCCATGCTCCCTTCGCTCTCTCCCAGGTATCCAAATCCATTGTTTTTGCTGTTCCACTGCCTCACCAGCCCACTCACAGTCCTCCCAGTCTCAGGCTCAGAGTTGCTTGCTGTAGTGCTGGCTGACAACTCGGCTCCAGAGTCCGTAACTGGGGGAGTCTGGTTCCAGCGGGCCACGCGTCCGGCCACGCGGTCTGACATGGGCTTGGCCAGGCGCCGCAGGGCGGTCACCTCCTGGGTCTTCCTGCGCAGCACCAGCTCCTGCTGCCGCTTCTGAGACTCCAACGCTCGAATCTGGTACTGATAGACAGGAGGGATAGAAACAGTTCTTTAGTATGTTATTCCATCTTCATCTACATTTATCCTTAAAACTGAGCTGAATATAACTGCTTTCTGCTCAACAGGCTTATAAAGTGTTGATCATGAAAGGATTTTAAGACTTAAGACTAAACCCTAAATAAAAGGATTATGAGTAAGACCCACGGTATGACAGTGTAAATATTTCCTCATCTCCAGGGAAAACAAATAAAGATGGAAATTAACACATGTGCAGTGTGTGCTAATCTTCAAAACATAAAGGCGATATTAAATATCTGTGTGCATTATGTACATAATACATTAATCAGGTTTTTAATGTGCCAGGTGGACAAACAGATGGAGAACCTAACTGTGCATTTATACACGTATCCAAGCTACACGCCAACTCACCAGCATGAATCATTCTTTAAATACAGAAGTGAAATTAGCATTTTTCATATACAACATTGCTCATCCCGTCTCACCTAGCTCCCAATTTCCCAGTAATTCTATTTCTGCGTGACATTATAAATTCCAGAGCACATATTACGTAAGTGGGTGTGCTAAATGTTTCTGAAGAATGCAGTATCTACTGCAGTAGTAAGCAAGTAAAGCAAGTAAAAATTACACTTGCTAAAACTGTCGACACATGTAAAACAAAATATCTCTCTCCTAAACACACACACAAACACGCTCAGTCTGACCTCTTGTCGCCGCTGCTCCTTCTTGAGCTGGGCGATCTCGCGGTTCCTCTTTGCCTCCACCATCCTCCTCCTCTGCTGCTCCTCCTTCATCTGCTTCATCAGTGTCACCTGGAAATAGCGGAAAGGTCAGGCTTCCTGAACTGTACTGGCACTCCTGCTTAAACTGCCAGCTCCTCCCGCCCACTGACTCCCCTTCCTATTCCCTTACCTTGGCCTTCTTCATGTCGTTGACCTCTGTCTGGAGTTTCTTCAGCTCCCGTTCGTACCTCCCCTGGTTCTTGAGGAGACGCGCATGCTCTTTCTGTGCTGCTTGTAGCTTCAGCAGGTCTCGGTTCATCTCCTTAAGACGTTTCTCATACTCCTGCTTGATCCGGCTGGCCTTCTCCTCCGTGTAGTTCTCCATGGACACTGTGTAGCCATGTAATAATGTTAGTGACCTGTTGTCAGGAAGCTTTACCTGTAATGGCACTTTTCAACTGCTCAACTTACTACTGGGTTTTCTACTACCCAACCTTAGTTTATGTGTAAGCTACAAATCCTATAATGCATTAACTCACTGAGGTTCTGCAGCACGCGGTCTCTCTCCAGCTGAGTGTCTCGGATCTTGTTCTGCAGTAGAATGAGCTTCTCCTCGTACTGCAACTTCAGCATCAGCAGCCTCCGCTGGCTGTTCTCCAGCTCGTCTATCAGCTTCTGTTTGATCTCAATCTCGCAGGTCAGATCAGCCAGGTCGGCCTGGAAGTTGGCTGCTTAAAGAACAGTACACATCACATCGTACTTCTATTTATTTTTATCATCATAATATCGTTATATATTTAGATGTTTTTTATTATAATGATATGCATAGCAGGTAATGTCAAAAACAGGCTGCCATAACTCAAAATCAAGTCTTAATTTATAGTCTGTTTTCATTCTGACATGACACCCCAAAGGCCTTTGGTTGATTCATGTGCTACTTCTAAGTCCAAACTGCATAATGTGCTTAAAGAAAACGGAGATGTGGTCTGTAGCCACACTGAAAGCTCTGTGAGGCTGTGCTTAGGCACAGCAGTGATTTGAGCTAAATCGGCATGCTAACATGCTCATAATGAAGATGCTAACACGCTGATGTTTCCCAATTTCAAATTTAGACCAGATGATGGCGCTAGAGTTAAACTCATTATGATACATTTAGGAATCATGAATGTCTGTACAAAATCTTGTGCCAAGTCATCTGAACAATGTTAAAATATTTCACTGAATAAGTCAAACCTTTGACACTAGAGGAAAGGTGGGGAGATCACCAAAGTCACAGGGATTTATTCTCTGGATACCATGCATGTCTGTACAAAATTTCATGGCAATCCATTCAATAGTTGTTGAGATATTTTAGTCTGATTCAAAGTGATGGACAGACCACCAGACCGATACTGACTAAAAACAGGACACGAAAGGGGAAGGTGTCTGGTCATTTTGTGGCAGCAGCTGTTAGAGACGCACCTTTCTCATCAGAGTCCGAGTCTGAGTCCACCTGGCTCTCGTCGCTGTCAAACTCGTCCTCCTCCTCCCGGCCCTCGTCCTCCTCCTCCCCCTCATCTTCCTCACAGCCGCTCTCCTCCTGCAGCGGAGACATGATGTCCTACACGCAGAAAACACAACAGGTACATCAGTCTTTGTTCTTGTATGTTTTTGGTTTAAACTCTCACGAATGCTGACCCACGTGTACCTTACCTCAGCATAATTGTCATCTGAATCGATCTCTCCGTTCTGTCCGTTTTGGCCGCTCTGCCCGTTCTCTCCATTCTCGTGACTGTGCAGTTTTACTCGTTTCTTCAGACCTTTCTCCAGCTCCGGGCTACAGGGGGAAACAAAAGCATGATTGTGGCACCAGGTCACAGTTGGCATTGAGAAAAAGACACAAATAAAGTCACTTGTCAATGTTATTCAAAAAGGCATAATCAATTTCTTTTCCTTTACTATTTTCGCCTGTAGTTGACGGTCTCTCCAATTCAACTAAAGTAATATGAGTGTTTGGACATTTCCACGCATTACAAACACTCTTTTATGTAAGTGAGAACATCACACACTCCTAAAAACCACCATTAGAGCTTTGGGAGTGCTGCCAAGTGATGTGCTCACAGCAAAGTCAGACTCTCTTAAGTCATTAGCAAAGTCTTCTTCAGCCCATCTACCCCTCGTCTTGCCCTTTTAGCTCTCAAAGTTTTATTGCCAATTTTATTCTCCCCTCTGCTCCATCTTTTACAACCATCTCGCGTATCACCCATCCCATCTCTTTCCCGTCTACCTCCATCTCTATCCCATTTAACCTCAATTAGCCGTTAGTCCATGTACTCTTCTCTCCCGTGACCCACTGGCCGACTGAATTAGACCTTTTTGTGTCCAATCCAGTGTTACTACTCAGCACTGGCTGCATTCCAATTCTTTTCAGAAGCTGGCCGTCCCAAAGCCCTAATCGACTTGTGATGTGCCTCTTAAGCTAGAGCAGAGAAGCAATGAGGAGGGAGGAGTATATGGGCAGGAACAATAATGTACCCATAATGCTCTCTTTGCTTTTAAAACACGCACAGGTTCATTGGCTTAAAAGGAGTAATGACAAATTAAATTTACATCAAGCTGAGATGTTTGGCTACATGAGGACATAACGTCTTGAATGTATCCTTCTCGCCTCACCTCATCCTCCTCTGCCTCCTCTCCTTCTTCTTCAGCCTTTCAATGTCCATCTTGGCCCGGCGTAACACGTCCGTCATCTCGGCCTCCATGGACAGGGGAGCAGGGGAAGAGCCAGTGGGGTGGCCAGGGGCGGGGCTGAGAGTGGAGGTGGGGAACGGGGAACGCGAGGAAAATCGGGCCGCCTGCCGTCGCAACGACTCGTTCATGGCCTCGCTCTCAAGGAGCTTGGTTCTGACAGAGGAGGAAGAGACAGACAGAAAAAAAGTTCAGTCATTCATACACAATTTCTTTCTGCTTGGTTTTTAGATGGAGAAAAAAAAAAAGAAAATCACAGACATTCAAACAGACTTATCACAAGCTAATTAAAGCTGCTGATTCTGGGTTTTTTTCGGTGACTATGAAGCTTGTGAAAGCATAAAACATTGTTCCTTTTGCAATTGAAAAGTGAAATTTATAAGCAATAAAATGAACCCTTGTTCAATTCAGTACACTCATACCATATGGTAGCTTATTTTAGTTAAAGTTAGCAAACTCTCTTGGCCTACTGTAAAACTATATTTTACTAGCGACAATTGACAGCTTGTGCCTGTCTGGCCAATATGAAGCTACAGCCAGGAGATTTTTAGCTTAGCTTGGCGTGGAAGCAGGGAGAAACAGCTAGCATAGCGCTTTCCAAAGGTAACGAAATCTGCAACTTTACATGTCAGTTTTTGTATGGAATAAACAAACATGACATGATGTGATAAGTACTGCGCTTTAGAGGTGCTGGGAGCTGGATTCTGTTACCTTCCGACAGAGTCAGGCTAGCTGCCCTTGTTTATAGTCTTTATGCTAAGTGTAGCTAACTGGCTGCTCTCTACAGCTATTTACTGAATGGACAGAAATAGAGATACACCCATTGTATTTTTTCTGGCCTATTTCTCTCTAAGAACTATATAATTTTGTAACTTTTCTTTAATGGAAAATTCTTTCTTTATTAGGACCCCCATTCAACGGGGTCCATTCAACTGTATGTTCATGATAAAACATTGATTATTAAATTACTGCTGCATTTTCTCAAATCTAATCTGCTTGCCTTGTTTTTCCCTTCAGACACACAAGCACAAGCACAAGCAGCTGTCTCTTTCTATCTCTGTCTCTCTTCCTGTATCTGTCTGCTCTGTTGACTTTCTTTGTCAATAGTTTAATAAATGCAAGTCGCGTTTTGAAATTCTTCACCTGCTATTCTGTTTTCACAGCAGGAGGTGAGACGCGTTTGGAGTAGGTTACGAGGAGAATACAGGTGTGTTCACTGTTGCCCTACGTGGTCCGTGCCTATAAAATATCCAACATGTGCGCGTCTTGTCACATGATACAAGATAGCGTCTCTTTCTGTGTCTTCTTCACACACTGTGCAGAACTTCCTCCCCTATGACGTTTTAGCATGTGTGTGTGTGTGTGTCTATGACAATAGTAAGTTACTGTCTGTGCTGCACGTGTGTGTAACGTTCAATGTGGTTTGGATAAAACACTGATCGGCCCCAGTCACGTATGATTAAGATGAAAACCCGCCAACTCAGGTCCCCAGCCAACCGATCGGTGCATCTCTAGACAGAAATGAGAGTACAGATAACCTCATCTAAGTCTCTGCAACAAAGTGCATAAGCATATTTCCCAAAAATCCCCCAAACTATTGCTTTAAAAACCAAAGAACTTCCTAAGTCAGGTGAAACAGTTTGTTAAGTTAGTGCTGTCCCAGTTCCAGGTTTGATTATTTCAGTGAGGTGTCAGTGTAACACTACAAGTGATGGCAGTAAATAGTGGAATTTCTTACCTAAGTTCTTCAACCTCTCGGATGTAGTTCTGGATAAGAACCCCGATCTCCTCATTGCCCTCACCTAAAGGTCAAAAGGCAGAAGGAGGCTCAGGTCACAGAAAGCATACTGCAAATAATACATATTATAGTACATAAAAATTAAAGTATTTATTCATGTGGTGTTTATAACATTCAAAGGAGACCTCCTTCACGTACTTGACTTGGTCAGCAGAGTGCTGACCTCATTGGCCAGCAGGTGTGTTACACGGGTGTTGAGGTGGTCAATGGTCTCCTGCATGGCCTTTACCCTGAGGCGCAGTGTGTCGCTTTCTCTCTGCAGCATGGCATTCTCCTGATGCAGGTCACTGTAGCCCTCTGAACCATCCTCACATGCCACACGCTTCCCCTGCACAGAGAAGCAAACAGTCTGCATGAATAACAATGGACGTGACCCTGGACAGCACAAGTATTGTAGCAAAAAAATACAATATTAGGGCCAAAAGACCTAAAAAAATAAACAGACTCTTAAGCCACACTCCATCTACTTGATGTTGCAGTCCAACCAAACACAACGCTATTGTTTAAAACGAGTTGCTCTGTCCGTGGCTCTTCAAGCGGCTATTGTTGTACTCTGAATGATTAACACTGAAAACATCCTGTTGTGTAAGCTTCGAACAGAGAGTCACTATTTAAACCAGCCATAGCTCGCAGACATCATTACCTCCACCAATCCAACACTCCATTACTTCCAGACTCCAGTCACATCGAATCCCTTTTTACCACATCGAGGTCAGCTCACAGCCCCTCATCGTAGTCACGCACCCACCCCCCCTTAACCACATAATAGACTGACAACCCCGCTAAATGATCGCTCATTTCTTGTAGTCCCGGAGGTCAAAGCTGGAGACTCTTTGCACATATTCTCTGAATTTCCCTCCTGCTGCATAACGGTCTATATTATGTAAACCATGTTACACAGAGCACATGCAGAGCTTCTTAACACAAGCACATTCAGCTAAAGGATCAATTGATCTCTGCAGTACATTGTAAAATGCTGATGTTGCACTGATTAATCTTCTCCATACTCAGGCTCTGGCTGCACTATACTAACATACACACATAAATGTGTGTGTTCCAGCATTAAAGATTTTTGATTTGATATAGTAATTAGGCAGTGCTGTATGCATGGTCGCTGCTTTTCTTACTCACCCTCCTGTACCATCTTCTCTTACTCCCATTAGTGTTGTCTTTTCTTTTTCTCAATTTCATCCATCATATCGCACCCTTCAGCCCTCTCTTAAGTCCGCATTACATCAGTTACTCTAACAGCCGTGTGTTGTCTCTCTTCTTCAACCTGTCACATTTCATTCCTCATCTCTTCCCCCCCGTCATTCAGGCCCCTCTTATCTTTTTCTCTGAGCTCCTCTTCGTCTTCATTTTTTTCACATGTACTTTCATTTCTCTCTTTTTCTATCTCTCAATGTTTCCCCTCTCACCGCCTTGTACTCCATCAGTTCAAGCTGAAGCCGGGCTATCTCTGCACGCAGGGCGCTGATCTGCTGGCTGGTCTTGTCTTGGTTCATCACCACCTTGTTCTTGATGTTTCGGGCGCGGTTGGCATACTTCAGAGTGTTCAGTGTCTCCATGAAGTCCCGGTCGGAAGGACTGACGCAGGCGATCATCACTGTGCGACTGGAGAGGAGGGAAATGTAATCATTTTAGACAACTGCGCGTACAGTGTAAGAATGTTGAGGTTGTGAGAAACATGTCTTGTTACCTTGAGCATAACAGAAGCCTTGTTGACACTCAGGCACGACATTAACAACTTAATGGTGTGTCTTGAGTGTTTGTGTCCCACTGAAGGCTTAAAAAAAGCTAACTTTTTAACTACAGTCTCTAACTTATCCAGTGCACTTGGGCTGCAAACAAAGACTATTTTCATTATCAAATAATCTGCTATAATTTTCTTGATCTTGTCTGTAAAATGTCAGAAAATAGTGAAAACTGTCCATTATTATTTCCCAGAGCCCAAAGTGACTTTTTCAAATATCTTGTTTTATCCAACCAACAGTCATAAACACAAGGATTTTCAGTTCATATGGGACATAAAAAAGTCCTCTCTCTCTTTGCTTTGAAAAATTACTGAAACATTAATGGCCGATTAATTTTCTGTCAATCAAACAATTATCCGACTAATCATTTCAGCTCTACAAAGCGCCAGTGCCTTGGTAGATTATCAAACTTCCTGGCTTTCCCATTGTGGAACAAACTTCTTAAACTTCTACAATATTCAAAATTTTCCAAAATTACTGTATACGATTCTGCGTGTACAGTATGTGTGTGTGTGTTTGTGTGTGTCTACCTGTTGCCTCCCAGTGAGTCCTGCAGCAGACGAGTGAGTTTGGAGTCTCTGTAAGGGACGTGGCCTCCCTTCTTAGTCTGGTCTCCTAAAGCACTGATCACATTTCCCAGTGCCAGCTACAACACACACACATTCAGAAACTGATCACAAACTAGTATTTAAATACACAGAGTACAGACGTTCACATGTTTTCACACACACACACAGTTTTCTTCTTGTGTCTGTCTCACCAGTCCACAGTTGATAGAGATTCCCTCGCGGGCTCTCTCTCCTGTAGCTCCGGTGCGTTTCAGCCTCTCAGAGCCAGCCAGGTCCACAAAGTGGAACTTGGCCATCAGCGTCTCAAACTCCGGCTGGGCGATGGGGCTGGAGTCCACGCCGTTCACTTCCCCGTTCTCTCCTCCGCCATTTTGCTAGCGTGGGCAGACAAAAAAAACAATTGAGAACGAGTTCATGTCTTACTTGAAAATAGCAGTTATTTCATCACCTTTAATTCTACTGCAACCGTAACACTAAATTAATTTCCTTTCTTTTATTTTTGTTTAATTTCTAAGTTTTTCTTGTTCTTCCCAAAACATTTTCTTCTTTCTTTCTACCCCTCCACTCCGAATCCCAGTCTCACCATTGGAGGCTGCTGGCACACTCTCATCTGACAGAGGTGGATGGTGAAGATGGCGTGCGAGCGGGAGCTCTGGGCATTCATCTGGGTGCTGGCTGTGGTGCGGGACAGAGCGCCAAGCTTCAGACACTGCAGCAGCTGCAGCACACACACACACGCAACACACAGATACACAGAGGACATTTGGTTATTATCAAAAAAAATAAATGTAGACTCAGTAACAAGAACAAGAATTAACAAAGAATATGTGTCAACGTATTTTATAATGGTGGGAAACCACTCATTTTGTTGACGTCAAACTTTCTTCAAGCATTTCTTTGAGCTTTTCTATATCTCTACACTCAAAACACTGTTGCTCTCTCTACTGATGAGTCCTCTCCTCCTTTTTACTCTCAACCTGACTCCTTGTCTCTTTACAGACTCCATCACCACACTTCTATTTCCTTCCTCAACCTGTTATGACATATTCTTTCTTCCCTCCCGCAGGAGTGCCCATCTGTCTCTTATTGTCTCTCAGCTGAAAATTTTGGGGAACTTAAAGCACGGATGACCTCTCCCAAATTCAGCCATTCATCTCTTTCCTTTCTGCTTCCATTTAACAGTCAACTCACATCTTTCTTTCTGCTCTGTCACCTATTTGGAAAAATACCCAGAATTATACCGCGTCTTCTCCCAGACAGCATTTACTGTAGCCCTCCCTCTAAACCACCACCTGCCACCTCTGTGAACCTCTTTGTCACCAGCCCATCACGTCTCCACTAGCAGACATTGCTCCTGCCCTTTTTACATCCTCATCACATCCTCTGTCTTCCACACTGTCACTGCTGATCCGTTCCCCTTCTTGACAATTATTATTGATAGTGCCTGACATGTGGCAACTTCAGTCTTGCATCAAATATAAAATACTCCAGACTGGTATCCCTCCCACAAACAGCCTCCTGGGTTTAACCTTAAAGGAAGCATATTAGCTCCCTTATTATCTTCGACCTATTTGCTGAGTGACCGCCTTGACAGACTTTCAGGGTGCTGAGGATCTCTGGCAGCTCCCATGCTCGGCCTCAACCAGTCAGCATTCATTCACGGCTTCACAGTTAACCCCTTTGCGATGCGATACCACTCATTTTTACGTGATCATCAAAGCATCTATGATCTGAGTTTTGCACTCTTTCTCTCTATTTTTGGTTCCTTGAAACTGCAGATGTCAAGCACCTAATACCTAATCATAAACATAAAGCAGCAGTTTTCTTATTTTGTTTGAGCTTCTGCATGAAATTTAAGGAAAGGTGATCTGAATCTATCAAGAAAATCTAAATGAATTCAAAATTGATAGACTGAAGATTAGGGAGTGCATTATTAAACACAATCAAACCAAAAGTAAGCTCTGAAAAATGTACTGTGTTAGGATAAGTATCAGCACAGGTATAAAAAAGGTTTGAATGTAAAACATGACCTTTATTATAGTAAACTTTTATAACCTTTAGACCACAAAACATTAGCAGAAGAGTAACTCCTTTCGATTTATGTAGTTTATAAAAATACTACATATTGAAAAGATTCTGATAAAATGTGCGATACAAACACACACACGCACCCACCTCCTCCTCTGAGTGCACCAGCCTGGAAGTGACTCCAGTGGTGTAGATGCTGCCACTGGCGTCCTCGTGGATCTTAATGTTGGACTTCCTGCTCCGACTCTCTGGTTCTCTGGCTCCGTCAAACAAGTCCAGGATCTCTTCATTGTACAGCTGAAATGAACAGAATCCACCAACACATATGCATCATTTATACATATCCAACACTACGGCATTCCTCTCATGTTCTCCCCTCATCTCACAGCTGGTTTTCTAATTTAGAGGTCAAAAACGACCTATCAGAAACCAATAAACGTCAAAGGCCACAGAGGTCAGCTGAAAGCTCAGCTGTTCATAACTACTGCCAAACACACACACACACACACACACACACACACACACATCTGTTTACCATCAACACAGATAACCTTTTGACCTGAGAACGTCCAAAAAACACACTAACATCAGAGAGCAGGACAGGCAGGAGAAATATAAAGAAATAAGAGTATAGCTAGAAAGAAAAGCGGTTTGGTTTTTACATTAGAATTGTTATTACAGAATGATTATTAAAGTAAATCACATCATACACACACCCACATATACAATTGTCTGCCTCCAAAGACAACCCAAACATAATACCTGCCAGAAACCTCTGGGGGAAATGATTACTGGTCATATTATCTCATTGCTCCTCCACAAGCATCCCTCCCTCCCTCCCTCCCTCTTATCCCTCGCTCTTATCCTTCGCTCTTATCCATCTTCTACCCCGTAGTGATGAGGAATAATATCCGAGATAATGGCCAACATTAATCAGGACCAACAAAGCACAAGCAGACATTCCTGCCCATCTGTCATTGGGCTGTCACTTCCTGTTTGTGGAAGAGGGGGCGGGTCCTTTGGTCTCCCTGTTCTGTCCCATCTGGTTGGAGTTAATATGGACCAACATCCATCCCAGCACACACACACACACACACACACACACAGACAGACAGACACACATCTACAAGCAACAATATCTCCTACTGCACTGTTAAAATGTGAGATCAAGCAAGAATGTGTTACAGTGTGGTCGTAACATTTGCTCTACATCCATACACATCTACAAGTGCGTCGCCCACCTCTAGGAATTGGGCGCTGACTTTGAACTCAGGCGGCTGGGAGCCAGCCTCTTGGGCGCGCACCCTCCTGGTCTGGATTCCCTCAAACAGCTGGTGAACAGCCCGCGGTATGATGCCCTGCTCCTGCTGGCTCAGGCTCAAGTCGAAGCCCGTCCCCATGGTGTAGGTCTTCCCCGAGCCCGTCTGAAACACATTTTATCAGATCCCATTGACTGTGCACGCCACACATCATACATGTGTGTACAGTAACCTTTTTTTAAATGCATGTCTTGGCAGTTAGTGGAAGTTTATTAAACTTCAATTAATGTGTGCTGAGGTGTGTGTGTTTTTATGTAGGTGTGTGTATATTACAAAATGTTCACGTGTGTACACATGCTTTTAACTGATTATCTTCAGCTAAATTAAGCAATGCGTTCCCAAAAGGGCATTCCCCCTTTAGCTGTGAGTTGTACTTAAAGAGAAAGATATGTAACTCTGCAACACTAACTGGCTTACTGAAAGCATCTTTGCTTTATTCAACCAACCCATTTTTATATGGGTTGTTTTTTTTGCCTAACAGAGCCTGCTGTATTTCTCTATAGAGTAACTTCAGAATAAAAGTTCACAATAAAATGTAAAAACAGTAAATACAACCACACAATATTGTATACAATACTTAGAAAAGTCTCAAGATACAATATTAGAGTTGGGAACTACATTAGTATATTAAGCTTAAACATACTGTGCCAAAAACAAATTCCACCGGCACTGTCGCGTGGCTAATAAAACAATCTAATCATATTGTATAATTGTGTCTGACAGTGTATGATTTATAAACCCTGCAGTGCTGGTTCCTTCTTTTTATTTAATGTTTTGTTTCTTTTTATCTCACACTGCAGTTCAGTTAATGGCCACTGACATCATTAATAACAAGGGTTTTCTGAAAGTTACACATAGAGCGTTTAAACAAACAGATAAATAACTACAAAAGCTATGACACTTGATTTTATTAATCAATCATTATTAAAATCTAATATTAAAATCCAGGCCTCTGCGTCATACCTGGCCATACGCGAACACGGTGGCGTTGTAGCCCTCTAAGCAGCCCTCGATGAGCTTGTACACACAGGCCTGGTAGATGTGCTGCTGCTCTGAGTCGATGTCAAACACGTAGTCGTAGGTGAAGGCCTTGTCCTTTCCCAGGAGGACTTGTGGTTCTCCAGGTGTGACCAGCGTGCACACATGACAGCCCTCTATCTTCTCCTTGGCCATCTGAGGACGAATCCTGAGAGTAGAGAAAGAGACCGGCAGGCAGTCAGTGAATGAATAAAATGATTATATCGTCATGTAATGTGAACTGGGTGTTGTTGCACAGCTCAGCAGACAGGCAGCTGATTGTGACTGAAATGGTATTTTTTCCCAACTTGTAGATCAAGCATGACAATCTTATGCACATGCTAGACATGTCGGGTTTCCATTGGAATCCATTGTGATTGTTGTGAATCCAAACTTACTACGTCTTTAGCATGTATTCCTTTAAACCTCGGTCGTCACTGTTCACTGTTCTAACCTCGGTCTGCAAACATTGCTGCTAATAAAAAGAGTAATTTACCAATTTAGCATTGTGCCTCTATAACACGGTCAGACTCACAATGAGCGGTTTAAAAAAGAAAATAATCAAAAATTGATGCAGCAGATTTCATCTTTTTTATTTCATGCATTCTTCTCCCTGAACCTGGCACCTAAATTACCCAAAATGCAACTTGATTACATTCACTCAACTATACAGATTTGAGTGTGTTGTGATAGTAGCAGCAAATGTAGCCTGAAGCTGCCAGCCACAAGCGAAGACGATGACCGGGCTACAGAGGTCTGGTAAAATCACTTCTTTCTAACTCCACACCCCCAGATGTGTTTCATTTTCAAACTGAAAGTTTTCAGCACCAAATGGCGCTGACTCAAGTGACATCACTTGAGGACATTTATCCAACTTTGTGCAGATCCCTCTGAAGCCACAAAGGGCTTTATACAACTGTTTAGCACATATGCAGTATTATTCCCTAAAATCTAACTTTAATGTGTAAAATCTGTGCAGTTCCCCTTTAAAAGTGGTCAGTTGGTTCTCAATAGTGCGACTGTAGGGGGGACATGGATGCTGAGCAGACCTAAAGTTGATGATTTTGCCCCTATCCTACATGTACATCCTACATTTAATACAGGAACCCATGTTAACCCTTTGATGCCAAACCCAGCAGTGTTAGACATGTGTCAAACCTCGGTCACGAGCAGAGTCACAAAGCCTGCTCATACAGGCCTAACACATGTTTACCTGTTCACACTGTCCTCAAACACAGCCTCATCCAAAAGGGACATTAAAATGTGCTGCCACTTTGTCTTGTTTGAATCTGTGGTCCAATTCACAAAAGACAAACAAAAAATTCACACAACGTTATAGTGTGGCACTAAACAGAAGAACAGGGACCTAGCACATGTATCAACAACAGTCTGTTGATGGAGAAAGTCAGAGAGGAAAATGAGAAATGAGGCACAACATGGACAGTTCTGAGAGAAACTAGTAGCAAGTAGGGCCACCGATGATGATAAAGCAGACTTTGGCTGATAAGTAATTTGTTTTATCAGCTGTTAATCCTGCTGCTCAGGACTCAGAGTTCTGCTGGGCTTTCCGTCCTGACAGGTAGTTCGCTGCAGTTAATTACTTTCACCTGACACTGCGGTCGTAAAATAATCCCTGTCTAGATGAGTCAAAAGAAATGCAGCCCCTGCGGCGGAACATCTTTGAACTCTGTGACAGAATGAGGGCCGAGTATTTAAATTTAGGATCAGTTTAACTTGTTTGTCGGGAGAAAGTCTTGCAGGCAAGGAGGCTGAATAGCTGAGATGTGGCTGTTAAAGAAGTGACACTTAGTGCATGCCCGTGACACAGCGCCGATTAATTGCGAGAAAACACTGTAGAGAAAATGTTGCTCTCGCACAACGTAGTGTACATATAGCAGAAGATTTGTCACACAGCCCAGTGCTAATCTTGGGCTTTCAGAGGTACAATGTGGACACAGTGGGGAGGTAATCACTTTAAGCTGCGGAAAAAGCCATGAGCCAGCAGTACTGGATCACTGGGTCCACCTCTCCACATGCTAAACCGCCCCCCCTTCGGTTCAATCTTCAGGGAATGCAAATCAACTCCCCCGCACACTGAGACAGCACTAGAGACTCCCTATGGGATGCTGCAACAAAGACAAACACACACACACACACACACACACTGAGTGTACTGAGAAATCCCCAACCACATACAGCTGCTGCAGGGATAGAGGGCACATCACAAAGACACACAGTCCCACACACAGTTTAAAAAAAATCTACTGTACTATCTTTATACTCAGTTCACACGTGGGTCCTCTCAAGCATGCATTAAGAACCACACCCACCTCTAACACAATAATCCCTTCACCGCACGTCGTTATGGTGCTGCAGAAACACACACACAGAGCTGACAACAGCATTTTGTGGCCCCTTCCGGGCCTTGAGGCATCATCCAATTCAGCATCAGCATACTAACCCCGACCACCTCGGAAGAGACAGCGAGACACAGAAAGCAGCTTGAAGACAGATGAGTCCCTTTTACAACTGGGGGGGTGACCTTGACACATCCAGTATGAGTGTTGTTCAAGTCAATTATTAACATCAGGTGGATACAGAAGAGGCGGAGTCCACTGGCTCTGCACAAAGGACTTATCAGAAGATGAACAGTGTGTGTGTGTGTGTGTGTGTGCGCTGCAGCTGCACCATAAAAATGGTTGGAGGTCATTCCTCCACATTTAGTAGCAAAAAATAGTCCATACACGATTATATGTCTGTGTGAGACAGAGGCATAGAGAGAAGCTGAGAAGCAGATTGTGGATCTCTGATGCGGCAAATTAAGGCACCTATCTCATCTCATCTTTGCACACTGATAGGAAAATGGTTTAAATACCCTGGGCACTAAACAGTGTCCCTGAAAGAAACAACACACACACACGGACCTCCTTTTCTACTCCCCCTCCTTGTTTCTGTTTATTCTAAATCCTACCAGCCTTTTGTGTATTTATAAGTCAGAAGTGTCAGGTTTAACATTTACAGCTGGCACACAAAGAAAGAAAGAAAGAAAGAAAGAAAGTAATCTACTTACTCAGGATCTCGGGCTTTGAAGAAATGCATTTTACAATCATCAGTCCTTCCCCCATTAAGATAATGAACTTTTCATCACCACTTACAGTAAAAGAAAACATCCCAGCAATACTTTCTGAATTTCAATTTGGCATGTTTCCTGCAGACAGTAAGTGCACTTCTGTTTTTTTTCCGCCTCATCTCACATTGACCACTGACTGCGTGACTGCAGCCACTCCCATGGCAGGATTTATCCCTGCAGTCGAACCTTTTTATTCTTAGGCCAGAATAAAAGTTTGGTTTACATTTTAGTTTTTTGTGCACTCCAGAGAGAAATACAGCCCATTTTGTGGACTTGTTAAGATGTGACCAGAATGCTGCAGGGATTTTCGGTTCATTTCTGGGGATAGAAATGTCGCATATTAGGCTGGTCCACCATTTTTGGTCCAGACTGCGTCGTGTGGCTTTTGTCCAATGTATCACATAATTATATACTTGTTCAACAGACCCGCACCCCCACTTTATATAAAAAACATTAACTGTGCTGATTAGTTGGTCAACAGAAAAGTATTCCATAGCAGTTTTGATAATGTTTTGATCATTTAATTCATTTAATCAAGTAAAAATGGCAAAACATCTGTTAGTTCTAGCTTGTCAAATGTGACATCAGACAAAATAGGAAACCTAAAGACATCAGCTTGGGCAAACTGGGAAATTGTGATGGGCATGTTTCAGTATTTTATACACTATAGAAAACAATTGTTGGCTGATGCGCTAAATATTACATGACCACACATGTGTGTCTCTATTTCAAACTCTACACACTTCTTCCGAGTGTCTCCTCCATTATCACAGAGGAGTAAAACATTCCCAAGACGAGATTGGCTGAATTCAGAAAAGTCTTGACAAGCTCTGCATCAAATGGGAATAGACAAACACAGACACACACACAAAGAGACACAAAAACAACAATGACAGTCTGTCAGTGATCCACAGGGAGAAGAAATGGAACAGCTATAAATAATCAATTCACACAGACACACATACACACACATAATCACACCACAGCTCAGCTGGATGAGAATTTAAGCCAGCTGCATCAACAAAAGACGAGATCATTAACATTGATCGGAGCAGCGCACACACACACACACACACACACACACACACACTGAGATCCAGACTCAGACCACACACTCACTAAAAGGCATTTAGCAGCTAAAAAAAGCTCATACTACTGTGATTACATGTCTGTGACAGAAATGTAGAGAGAAACACAGAGAATAAGACTGTGGATCTTTGATGTGGCAAATTAAGGCATCCATCTCTTCTCATTTTTTACACTGATTAGAACCGTGGGCACTAAACAGAGTTCCTTAAAGAAGCAACAGACACACACAAACAAACACACACACACACACACACGCGTACCTGCCCTTTTTTGTACATTCCTTATACAGAGATGAATGTACAGGTACGGACATGTTATCTATACTCATCACCCTGAACCTTGTTCTGTCGGATACACACGCACACACACACAAAATCAAACTCATTATCCACAAGCTCTGAGGGAATTCACTTATTACAACAATTATCAAACCCAATAGTGCTAATTAGGATCAGACTCGGAAAAAATAAAAACACAAACAATGCACACACACACAAAGTAATTGCCATATCAAACCCTGACAGCGGCAAAAGTCATTGACGTGTGACTTGAGAGAGAAGTAATCTGCAACATGAGGGAGGCAGCCGACCTTTCTAAACGCTGAACACAGTCCTCAAGACCTTTCTGACATTTACAGCATCCCTTCGTCAGATTCCTGCCATTGAAATTGTAAAAAAAAAAAAAAAAAACTCATCAAGCAGGCAGACAAGCAGATTTATTAGTGGCGATGAATGGAGAAAGCATCACAAAAACCAAAAAGAACCAGTGCAACAACCAGCATGTAATATGTCAGCCAACAACTCTACAAAACGTACAGTTTCATTAACTATCTAGAATGGAAAGAAAATTTCTATTAGTACCGTGTCCTGTCCTTGGGCATGTGGAAACAGTTAGCGAGGCTTATGGAAATGCTGCTGCCTCAGTGAAAGATCAGTACCAGACTGGCCTCA